CTCAGTCCTGATTTGCTCCGTCACGCACGCCCAGGAGCGTGCTTCTGGAGCTTTTTGCGCAACAGGCGGTTTGTAACGTTCACAAAGTCCTTCTCCGCAGGTCGCCCCACTGGAGTGACCTGCAGGTCCGCCGCAGGAGGGGGCAGCCATTTCAGCGTCACATGTGGCCGTGTGGCTGGTAGACAACGACCTGCAATTCCAGGTCGTGACTCAAGTGGTTTAGACTATGAGCTTGGGCCAACTGCGTCAGAAGGGGCCTTTCACGCACGGTGGCCAATCGCCCTGTTTTGCGCATGCAGCGCACACAGCCGCACACTGGCGCACACACCCCTGCAGTTCAAGCTGCCTAGAACACGTGTCATACAAAGCTGTGTGATACCTGCAAAGCCAAGCCAAAGCCCTGCAATGCATAGGAAAGCAGCCCATTCGCCGGGACACATCCACAGGGGGGGGGGGCGGACCTTGGGAGCGGGTATTGAGGAGAGCCTAACGATACCAATGCAACCTTCCTGAGGAAACCCTGGTCCAGCGGGGTTGGGCACAAACCACCGCTCGCCCTGGGGCATTCCATAAATCAGGAACCCCGCAGAGGCAAACCATCGAGGGATGAACTTGTTTGGCCACAGGTCAAAATCCCGTAGCCCCAGTGAACATCCCAACAATCCCCACTAAAATAGGTTCTAAACAGTTCTAAAATGGGTGCACCCACCCCAAAATGGTACCATTGGTTTTGACCCACATGCCTCAACACTAGAGCGTGCGCCAATGGCATTAAACTCAATTCTGCACTCAATCATTGCTAAAACTTTGCCAAGAATGCAACCATCCGCTTCTCGAGTGGATGGGTCGGACATATCCAGACTTTACGCGAATCACTACTTTGTCATCTTCCCTACTCCCCTGCAGATTAACTTGTACACACACACAAAACCATCATTTGTAGGGCAATCTCCTTTTTGGGGACCTTGCTTTTACTTGGTTCCATGTGATCCAAAGCAGGTGTAAACATTGACGTCCTTTTGGGACACTAGATGGCAATAGAACACAATTGGCCACAAACTGAATCCAGTGGAATCCTATCAACCAAACTTATCGAAAGAGGGCACCCACCAGCTTGTCCCCAAAACGCGTGGTTTCCCGTTTTCCTTTCAGAACTCCCACGCAAACCCTACGACCGACTCCTTGGGCCCGGCGTCTCTCGTCTGGTGCCCTCCCCACCATAGCCTGAAGCCAATGGGGTCTCTCCGTTTCACCTATCTTTTGGTGTTTGGATGGTCGCAAAGGTTTCTCTTTTGGCCTCCCATGAAACCAGGCAGTAGAGCCACCTACAAAGCGTGGACAATAGGATTTTCTCCCGCTGCTCAACTGAGGCATGCACCAGCTATGGAAACATGATGGGCTCCCCTCCACAAATAAATGGGGAACCCTTTTTTCTCACCCTCCAAACCTTTTTTTTCAACCCTTCCCTGTTTTTTCAACCCTGCATCCTTTCTATTTAACCCTCCCCCCGTTTTTTTAAACCCTCCCCCCTTCTTTTTTAACCCTCCCCCCTTTCTTTCTGACCCTCCACCTCTTCCTTTTAACCCTCCATTTCTTTTTTGCCAACCCTGTGGCCGAAGTTTGCGGCAACTGCACTAAGCAACGGTCCAGGGTTGGGTTGGTTTAGGAGCGGCTTTGGATTTAGGGTTTGTTTAGGGTGGGTTCGGGCGGGGGGGGTAGGTGGGTTTAGGGTTGGTTTCGGATGGGAAGGGTGGATTTAAGGGTTTAGAGGCGGGGTAGGGTTTGTTGAGCAAGTTTGTGGTCGGTTTAAGTTTAAGGTTGGTTTCGAGCAGGTCTGTGCTGGGTATATGGTGGGTTTAAAGTTGGATGAGGGTGGTTTTGGGCTTGGAGAATGGGTCTACAGCGGGTTTAGGATGGATTTAGGGTTGGTTCGGGGGGGGTTAGAATGGGTTTAGGGTGAGGTCAGGCTTGGGATTAATGTTGGATTTACATGGTGTTAGCTTAGGGTGGGATTAGAATCTGTTTGAGGTGGGTTTGGGGTCGGCTTCGGGTGTAGAGTTGGATTAGGTAGATTTAGAGCAGGATTTCGGTGGGTTTGTGTTTGGTTTAGGTGGTCTCGAGTAGGTCTGTGGTGGCTGTAGGGTTGGCTTAGGGTTGGTGTAGGGTTGGTTCAGGGCGGGTTTACGGTTTGTCTATGTCTAGGGTGGAGTTGGGGTTGCGCTAGGGGAGGCTTGGGGTCGCTCAAGGGTGGCTTAGGGTTGATTTGGGGTGGCTTGATTTCAGGTGGGCTTAGGGTGTTTAAGGGTATGTTGTTCGTTTGTTTTGGGTTGGATATAGGTTGGTTCAGGGTTGGTCTGGGATGGTCTAGGGCGGGGTTTGGGGTTGGTTTAGGCTTGGATGTGGATTGGTTTTGCGGCTGGCCTAGGGATTTAGGGTTGGGCCAAGCTCAGCTTAGAGTCTCAGGGTGCGCTTAGAGTTGGATCAGGGTGGGTTCATGGTTGGTACAGGGTGGGCTTATGGTTGGTTTAAGGTTGCTTTGGAGTGGCTCAGGGTTGGTTAGGGTTGGTGTCGGGCTAGGTTGGTTTTGAGTTTAGTGTGGGTTTAGCGTTGTTAGGGTGGGGATTTAGGGTTGTTTTTGGGTGAGTTTAGGGTGGGTGCAAGGTTGGTTTAGGGTTGGTTTTCGCTGGGCTTGAGTTTAAGGTTGGTTTTCGGGGTGGTTCGTGATTGGTTAAAGCTGGTTTAGAGTGGGTTTAGGATTGGGTTAGGATTGGCTTAGGGTCGTTTTCGGGTTGAGGGTTGGTTTTGGGTCGGTGGGTCTGTTCAGGTTGGTTTAGGTTGGGCTTAGGGTTGCATTAAGGCTAGATTAGGGTGGGATTGGGGTTTAGGCGAGTTTAGGGTGGGTTTTTTGTTGGCTTAGGCTAAGCTTAAGGTGGGATTATGGTTGGATCAAGGTTCGGGTGGGTTTAGAGTTCGTGTAGGGTGGGTTTAGGGTGGGTGCAGGACTGGCTTGTTGGTTTAGGGTTTGGGATTGGTTAGGGGTGGGTTATGTATGCTTTAGGGTGGTTTCGAGTAGGTCTGTGGTGCTTGCGGTGGGTTTAGGGTTGGACAAAAGACGTTTCTGGCTTGCCTGCAGTTTAGGGGGTGTTGTGTAGGGTGGGTTTGGGGTGGGTTTGGGGTGGGTTTGGGCGTGTTTGGCTGGTTTGAGATGGATTTAGAGATTCTGAGGGTTCGCAAGGTTTGGCTTAGGGCGGGCCTAGGGTTGGTTTGGGTTGGGTTGGGTGCGGGGCAGGCTTAGGTTGCTTTAGGTTTAGGGTGAGAAAAACAAGGTTGCGGGGTGAAACAAGCAAGCTCGCGGGTGGAAAAAACAAGGCGGAGGGTGAACAAAAACAAGGCAAAGGGTGAAAAAACAAGGTGAGGGGTTGAAAAGAATGGATTTCTCAGGGTTGGAGAAACAAGGTTCCCGCCGACGGTTCCCAAGCAGGGTTTGAGGGTTGAAAAAAAAGGAAGGGTTAAAAAAACAAGCTCGGAGGGTGAAAAAAAAGGGAGCCCCAAATAAATTCCTGCACAAGAAAGGGGGCCCAGTAGTTCGTATATCCCTTGCTAATGTTTGACCATTTAAAGCCGAAACTCTAAACAGTTGAAAGTCTAAGGGCTGGGAAACGCCAAGCTGAGAAAATTGCTTGGATGGCTTCGTGGATCCGTCTATATAGGATAGAAAAAGAGACTAAACAAAAATGCACTAAACAAAAGCAGGGAGAAGAGCAGGGAGAAGAGCAGGGAGAAGAGCAGGGAGAATCCACAAAGCATATCTCCAAACCAGTTCGTAGAACACTCATCAATGAACACCAAGTAGCCCAGGCAAGCCAAACCCTGCGTTTTTCGACCCAGCCTGTTTGTTGGGCCCACAAGCCAAAAGGTAATATGGGAAGAAACAGGTTGGGGGCTGGGTTGGACAGAACATTCAACGCAGCAACAGCCAACCCGAGATTGACATGGCCCAACGTGCGATCTCTTTGACCCACCCAACGGGGAAAGGCCCAAGCGTGTCCCCGTGTCTACAATTCGCACCAACACACTCTGGGTCTCCCTTCACGCCAAGGTCACAATGCCCGTGGCAGCTGTGAACCGGCGCGCCTCGCGGCTTCCAACATGGAGCGCGTGGAAGGGGTGCAAACCCCGTTCTCGAGGAATCCTTTTTTTTTTGGATTCCCGTTTTGTCGGTTCCAATCTGCAGAAAAGTTTGGTAGTGGTTCCTTTGGTGAAGTTGGTACGAGTATGTGTGGGGTTTCTTGCAAGAATATGGACATCTGCCACCAGGTTTTGGGGGGCTTCCCAATTGAAGACACACCTACACATAGACATGTGGGTGTGCGTCTTGGTGAGTTCGTACCTGGTGAGTTCGCCATAGATTGCCCGATTTCTGTTTCAACCCTTTGACCCGCCTGGGTGTAAAAAAGAAGCCCCCTTCATTGCCTGAGTGCATTGGCCGGACATGCACAACATAGTTGATTCTCACTAGTACGCTCTGCCCAGATGTGCGACCGGAGAAGTGAGTGTTAGAGGCGTTCTAGACTTCTAGGCCTCTCTCATTTGCAACCTGGAAGGGATGCAAGAAATAAACCCTGACATAAACCAAAATGCATACAATATGATTGCTACATTGCGCTATGATTTCCCATCCTAGAATGAGCTGTGTCTAACATCTGATGTTTTTGTGTAATCAAAAGGTTCGACCCAACAAAAACAAAAGAACAAAACATAAATATGAGACACGCCGCATCTGTACCCTCGCAAACCTTGGGAAGCCTGTGCTAAAGTTAGTTTGGAGCTTGGGGCCCTTTAAGTGACAGTGGTTGGTGTCGCCCTCCCGTCCGGAATGAACGTGCCTCGGTCTCGATCTGCGCCTCAGTCGAGATAAGGCGAGCAGGCTTGCTTCTTGGGGAGTTCTGACCTTCTTTCAAGGGCGGCTGCTCCCTCGGCCAGGCCCCCAGATATCCGAAGGCGCCTGGAGGGAAGAGGGGGGGTTCGAGCCGGGTATCTGCCGGACCCCAAAAAGTTGTTAGCAAGTTGCACCTCATTACCCGGTACCCGCACCCAAAATAGACGAAACTCGACCTCCCCTGGGCTCTCCTGAAAGAGGCGCGCGGCCCTCAACGCCTGCCAACAAACGGGCTCGTTTTTTCTGGCATCAGAGTCGGTGGCTCGCCTGCATCGCATCTGTTCTGACTTCTCAGGACCTCTGACCAGTGGACCTTGGATTAAATCTGACAAATTGGAAGACCGACTTGAACCATCCAACGGCCCTGGTCCTTTGATCCTGAGCCACATCTTTGCCAAAAACATCGTCGGGGCGCCTGCCCGGCGAAGCAGCACAGACACCCGGCTCAGCCAAAGCCGATGCAGAAACTCGGTTTGGCAGCCGCTGCTGCAAGGCCTCACGCTGGAGTGGCCCTTGCTGTCCAAAGCATTTCGCAACAGGTTTGTGATTTGGGCAGTGTTTTTGTTGGTGCTCGGAAACCGCCAACCAACATATTTTGCTGCCGAGCCTTGGCCTCTGGATGGATCTGGCGCAGGCCTTGCCAGAAGCCGTACAGCCGAGCTACTTAAGCTTGGAAAGGCAGACGTGAAGTGGCACGTCCTGAAGGAGCTTGCTGCTCTTCAGGGGGGCTTGCTTGGATCACTTTGTCGTACTTTCCACGCTTCAGGCTACGGTTCTTCTCCAGAGGCTTGGAGAAGAACCGTAGCCTGAAGCGTGGAAAGTACGACAAAGTGATCCAAGTAAACCCCCCTGAAGAGCAGCAAGCTCCTTCAGGACGTGCCACTTCACGTCTGCCTTTCCAAACTTTTTACCAGCAGCTTGACTCTTTAAATGGGAACGTGCTTCTCGTGACAGCCACGCCATGCCAGCCAGGCCGAGGCCGACCGCGGCCACGGCTGCACCAACGCCCCAGGTGCAACGTGCCTTCTTGCAACACTTCCTGGCACTTCTTGCACTCGCCCTTGATAGCATAATTCCCAGCGGCGCAGGCAGCACACAGGACCCCAAGTTCGTCCTCAGGGCGAGCGCCTGAAGAATTTCGGGCTTTGACCTTGAACCCTGCAGACTTGGCCACGCTGCCATAACTTGGTCGCAGCTAGATTTGGGGGGGGGAGCCACGCGATGGAAAAAAATAGTACTCCCGGATATGGGCTTCTCAAAAATCGGTTTTAGTATAGGGGGAACGTGTAGCATTAGGGAGAACGGATTATGCCGATGAAGTGCCAAGTGTACAGAGAAAAACATCGTTTCTGTTTCCTATCAGATGCGTTTCCTATCCAGATGTCTGCGGTCAGTCCTCCGTGGACAAGGAGGTGGCATTCAGGCAGCTGCCCGTACCATGCAAAGCATTGTTGTAGCAGCCCTTCATCACCACATTGCCGGACACTGTCACGCCGTCTGTCACTTGGAGGCAAGCCTGCGCCGCCGAAAGGAAGACGGCTGCGAAAACCCACGGAAATGGGCACAGCAACATGCGAATTGCTTCTTTCACCCGTGTAGAATTAAGCTCCCACAGAAAGGTGTTTCGGTTTTCCTGGTGCTCCAATCCGATCGCTTGGGTCCGTGTCAACATCTGTTGACCCCGTTTTCTGGAAAGTTGGACTAGCCATTGAAGGCGCGTGCACCATATGGGCGTTTAATTGACCCAGGTAAAGCAAACAAGAAGGCCTTTCCCTTAAAGATCCTCGCGGGAGATGCTGTCACGGTTATTACCCTAATTTGATGAAACACCCGTTTGCAAAAGGTGTTGGCACCAAAGGATCCTTTCAAGGTGGCTGTTAAGCAACATGATGGAAAGGCAAGCGACCACCCTAAAGCAACCATGAAAAGGCAACACACCGTGCCAGGTCATGGCGAAGCTGCACACGCAAGCAATCAGTTGGCCAGCCTGCTTCCGTTACTGGGAGGAAAGAGTCCATGCTGCAACCACAAACCTTTTTATAAATGTCGACTCGACACGTGGGCTCCTCTGCGGGCCACTTCAAATCGAAAAAGCAAGTATACAATGTCCTGCCTGGAGTTCCGTCCCAGCGCCAGTGGCGCAGTCCTGCAGATGGAGGCCTTTCTTGGGCACTCGGTACGAGCCCGTCGTCAGCCGCGGGAGAAACACCGCAGTCATAGAAGAGTGCGTCGAAGCAAATCGTTGCCAGCTGGCTTTGGCCTGTATAAATTTGGAAACAGACTGTGGTCTCGACATGAGGAAATGAGTTGACCGCGTTTCACAGCGGGCTCCCGCTGCATCCACCCAAATTGCCGTCGGCACAGATCTGTCAGCTTCCCGGTGGCCATGGGAAACAAGGGCACGGAGCTTCGGTAGGTCATCTCAAAGAAGCGAAACACTACAACAAAAAAGGCGAAACCAGGGCAGCACTGGAAGGCTTTGGGTTTCTCAGATGACCAAAGCTCGCTTTGGAGGACTCCTGTTTGCGATGGGCTTGACACTCAAGTGGCTGCGAGTGGCTGCAAGTGTGCCGCGTCAATTCAACGCACCGCACGCGAACTCAATTCAACTTTGCGCAAATTCACTTGAAACCAATCAGGAACCAAAACGAAACAAAGCTTACACTCCCTCAGTCATTGCCCGCAACTAAAAGACATATTATCTTAAAGTTTGCGCCACAAATACCAAAAATGAGATGTGCTTTGACCATGGCACGATATGGCACGCGTGATACAACTTCAAAAGAGAACCCCAGGTTGGAATCGCGGCTTGCGTCCACGCCGGCTGTCATGAAGAATGAGGCCATCACCGCAGATTCTTCACCCGCGACTCGCAACAAACGAGGCAATTCCCTAAACAAGACGCTGCAAACTCTGAACCGGATTCTCGGGACTTGTTTCGTGGCATTGACACCAACCTTGCAGGGATCCAGGGTTGGAGTACACATGCCTTTCCATTCCATCGGTGAATTTACATGACAGAGACATCAATGCGTTCAGGACGAGGTGTGGGAAGCCCTTGACTCCGTTTCTTGGGGAAAACCTCATATATGGCTGTGGGTTTTGAGCAGCCATATACAGGTTCGAGGGGCCCGACCCACCCGAGCCATATAGGTGGTGTGTCGAGACACCAGGCCCCATCAAGGCCATGATTCTGCAATGGCCGACCCTCGAACGAAGGGTGACGCATGAACCCCCGAACCAAAGAACCAAATCAAATCTATTCCAGCATAAGGCTTTGAAAAAGACAAGCAAGGACTGACAGCTGACCTCCTGGACTGGACCGGACAAATGCATAGAGCTTGGGATCTACAAGAGCAACGCCCTGAACAAGGCTGAACAAGTCGGTCCACACTGTGCAACACGATGGTATGGCCAGCTTCATGATCTCCTGGGGACTGAAAGGCCACAGGCTTTGAAGGTCGACCCAATCCTGGTTACGCCACCACTTCCGCCGGTACAGCCTTCTGCAGAGGCTAAAGTGTAGTCAAAGAACTCCCTCTTGGGCTGGTGTCGAGATCGTCCAGCGCGGCACCTCTATCGCAGCCTGAGATTCTGCTGTCGTCATGGTCGGCTTTCCTGCCATCTGTTCGATCTGTTCTTCTTGGACCTCGCCTCCTTGGAACCTCGCCCTTTCTGACTTTCTCCGGGGCCAGCTACTACGCCACACATCCCGATCAAACCCATTGGGAAACTGACTAGATAGTTTCGGTTCTTCCGGATAGACCATATATGTCTTGACCCATGTTGGGTCTGCCTCAAAGTGGGGAACCTTTAATTGGAGCTGTTAGAGAGAAGCCAAATAACGATTAAACATATTCAATTTGAGGTGAGACATTTCCCTGCGTGGCAGAAAATCCCAAGCCAACTAAACCAACGCTACGAAATCAGAAAGGATCGAAGAGAGCCGAAGAGAAGCGAAGATGACTACCGGTACTAAATTAGCACGAAGAAATAAAGCAACACAAACCAATACTAGACCAGTACAAAGGCAGCATTGAACAATTCTAGGAAAAACAATTCTATCTGCAAGTACTTAATAGCACTTAGTCGGAGACCACTTTGGGGGACCTCTGCCCCCGCTGGGAACCCGGAGACGGGCAAACCTCCAGCATCAAAAACAAGGTGAACACCTTCACAGCCAAACTCCAACCTTCACGCCGAAAAAATGAACCCCCCCAAACCTTCACAGAACCTTCACAGCAACCTTCTGGGGGTCTGGGGGAAACCAGAGACTGTCGCGCCTCGTCCGTCATATCGCTCTGAGCCCCGTGCCGCGAGCTCGCGCGAGGGAGCGATCACAAGGACCTGGCGAAGGGATTTGGACCCCCCTAAAATGACCCAAATGGGGTTCCCCCCAAAATGTTGTTTTCCGCCTGCTTCCCTTTTACAACCAGCCAAAGAGGTGTACCCCCAAAATCGATGCCCTTCTCACTGATTGGTTTTGACTGGTGGTCAAACGGCCATGGTGTTCGTTTTGCCTCCCGTTTAAACAAAGCCTGAAAAGTAATTGCCCAACTCAACCAATCTTCCAAAGTCTAGAACGCGGTTGGAGGTGGCATTAAATGGGTCTATCTCAAAAAAAGTGCCTGTTCTACCCGGATGCCAATTGATTGCCCAAGGCTACCGGCGTGCGCGCAAATCCGTTTAGCTGCCTGGGCCTGTTCCTTTTCTATCTATCCACCTGCCTGCCTATTCTCCCATGCATCTCTGGGGGCATCCATTTATCTACCCGTCTACCTATCCATCTGTCAATCCGTCTGCCATCTACGCATCCGTACATCGAACCCACCAGTCGATCTAATTGCCTGCCTACTTGCCCAGCTATCTAGCCATCTAGCTAAGCTACTCTTTGGTCTCATCTTTCTTTCTACCGCCGTACTCTAACCTAATCCAATGTCTGATCTAGCCCATCCAAATCACAGTGGCACGGCGACGCAAACGCGCAACCTCCCAAACCACTGCGCCTGGCAGCGAAACTGCACAAACATCGCGAAATCGACAATAGAGCGCTCGAGCGCGACTAAAAACAAACTGCAAGTCATTGTCACACAATCTCACATGGCTCTTCCCCGACGGCAACTTTTGCCACCCGCGACCGCTGGCGAAAGCTTGAGAACGTTTGTGCACGTTTGCGAAGGCGTGCGGACGCAGCAACGTTTCCGGCGAACACTTGCTCTCCCCAGGCACCAAGAAACTAAACGAGAACACTGAGAAGCACTAAAAAAACAGTTCGCGTGGAAAAAAAACTCCCAGGAGGTTTTTTCCTGATTCTGTAGCGGGCACCATCTTGCCTCGCGATCGGGAAAAAGGCACAAGCCCTTCAAAGGTAAGGGCTCATCATGATGTTCAGGCCAACCAATATCCCGGTTGAGTTTTTCTCGAAAGCCCAAAGTGCGCAGAGGGTTCACTTTGCGTTTTCATCACTTTGCATTTTCAATTTGTGCACCGCGCCTCAGCGAGAGCGATTCAGCCCACCCAAAGTGCGCAGAGGGTTCATTTTGCATTCGCGCATGTGTGCGGCGCAGCATGACCGTGAAACCTTTCCCCAATGGAACGGCAATGAAGTCGCGCAAAGAGTGCTTTTTTGAAGCAGGTCACAACGGGCCCATTGTTCGACAGGGCCAACGAAAAGGACACTCGAGCATGCGCGAACGCAAATCCCATTGCATTGGCAACGCAAACGTAGAATCACTGCGCCTGCCTAGCGAAAGGACACGCCGAGCTTGAAAGCCAACGAAAACAGCACATCAAGTCATCAAACTCACACATTCTGCGCTTCCCCACTGTATTTGAGTTTTGGACCCTGCGACGACGACGTGAACGACGAGCCGACGACACGACTATGCCGACCAACACGACGCGAACAAGGGCCCGGTCCCAGACCCAGACAGAAAACGGGAACCCTTCGCCACGTGGGTCGAATCGCTCACTGTGGCGTGCACACTTTGAAAATGCAAAGTGAACCCTCTGCGCACTTTAGGTGGGTCGAATCGCTGTGGTGCTGTGCAAATGTCCATCTGCGGCTTGAAAATCGTAACTTTTCAGTACGAGAGCAGTACGTGAAGTACACTTTTCCAGATTCGGCTCGAACATCGCAACTTTAAAGTACGAGAGTTGTACGCAAAGTACACTTTTCCGGCTGCGGATCGAACATCGTCCTTTCCAAAAGCGCAAGTAAAGGAACAAGGGGGAAGGCAAAAGAGAAGAAAGGAGAAGAAGAGAAGAGAAGGGAAGAGAGAAGAGGACAGGAGAGAAGAGGAGAAGAGATGGGAGAAGGGAAGGGACGAAAAGAAAAGAGAGGGAGAAGAGAAAATAAAATTCAGAAGGGAGAAGAAGAGGTGAGAGAAGAAGAGAAAAATGAAAAGGGGAAACACACAGGAGAAACGAGAGATAGAAAAGAAGAGAGAGGAGAGAGACGAGAGAAAAAGAAGAGACAAGAGAAAAAAGTTGAGAAGAGAGAAGACGAAATAAGAGAAGAACAAAAAAGAAGAGAGAAGCTGGAAGAGAGAAGACGAGACGAGAGAAAAGGAGAAGAGAGAAGAGGGATTGAAGAAATGAAAATCTAAAAAGAGAAGACAGAAAAAAGAAGAGATACACAAGATAGAAGATAAAAAAAAAGAGAGAAAACAGGAGAAAAAAGGAGAAGAGAGAGAAGAGAGAGGAGATAGAAGAGAGAGAGAGAGAGGGAGCAGAAAAGAGGGAACAGAAGAGAGAGAACAAAGAGAGAGAGAGAGAGAGAGAGAAAAAAAAAAGCGAAGAGAGAGACAGAAAAAAAAGAGGGAAGAGAGAGAAGATAGAAGAAAGAGAAAATGGAGCAGAGAAAAACAAGGAAGGGAGAGACGAGAGAGAGAGAGAGAGAAAAGAGAAGAGAGAGAGGACTCAAAAAAAGAAGAGAAGAAATGAGAGAAGAAGTGGGGAGAAAAAAACAAGAAAAGAAAAGACAGAGAGAGAGAGAGAGAGAGTTGGATAAATGGATGTCGACGTGGCCCGGGCCTTCTGTGGAGGAAAAATACACAACACAACCCCTTACGTTCACCGTTCCCAGGACAAGATTTTGTTTTCCGAAATCAGACATGTGTTGTTGTCGTCGTTGTCGTTGGCGTTGTCGTTGTCGCTGCTGCTGCTATTTCCGTTGCTGCTGTTGCTGCTGCTGCTGTTGCTGCTGCTGTTGCTGCTGTTGCTGTTGCTGCTGTTGGTGGTGGAGGTGGTGGCGGTCGTGCTGGTGTTTGTGTTGGTGTTGTTGTTGTCGTGTCGTTGTCGTTGCTGTCGTCGTTGCTGTGGTCGTTGTCGTGGCACGTGGTGTGTTTGTGTTTGTGGGCAGTCCTCAAACCAAAAAAACAGGCACCAGGGGTGTGGGCACTCAAGAGCTCGGACGTGAGCGGGACCCAGGGTACCTTCGCGCCCCAGCGATGTCGCCTCGGGGGAGTATGCGCCGGGGCCGGCGGCCTGCTTCTGCATCTGCACCTTGCTGAATGAATGAGCGACTCCCTGCTTTCCCCACATCTCTTTCGGCAAAGATTGATCTTCCGTTCAAGGTTTCCATCTAAGAACTTCTGATTCTTATGGTTCTCAGTAAAGAGTTCATAAGTTTTGGACCGTCTCTAAAGGAAACCGCAAGGGATGATTCAAAACTGTCCTTCAATCCCCACTGAGAGCGAGCAAGTGTCTGGACTGCGCCTTTCAACCAAAGTTCTTTCAGAAAAGCTGCTATAAAAAAGTTGGCAGAAGCCCAGGGGTCAACATGAGGCCGTGTTGTGTCCTGTTTGCTTCGCATTTGCCGTGCCATTTCAGGAAAATTGAGCTGTTCAGATGAGCCCGCCCTCTTTGATGTCAGATTTCCTCCAAAAGTGACCCGGGTCCAAAATCAATCAAAATCAAACAGGGCTTCAGGGCTTCATTGGAGGGGGTTTCCACCAGAAGCTCTGCTGTCAACTCTTCACGGATGCTTGCATCACATCCATGGCCGGCATGAAGCAAGGGGCAACCCAGATTTAGCCCTTAGAATAGGGACCCAGGGACCCCCTCTTTCGATTGGTTCAAAAGGAAACAAACCCAAAGCAACTCAAACCCAGGCGTGGATTTATAGGGACACCAAAAGGAACGCAGCTGCTTTTTTTGGCAAAGGGAGACCCACATAGCCAATCGTTTGGCGAATTCCCCAGCTGACTTTCGAGACCTGCTTTGCCATGGGCGACTGTGGTTTTTGGGTCGACTGCTACCGGGGGAACAAGACGATGTTTCCCCCTCAAACATCACCCCATGGGAAAGCTGGCGTGAAACGGGTGACTTTACTTGGATTACAACCCATGTTTCGAAAGAAAATACAACCCAATTGGCCATGGGTCAAAATCCCGTAGCCCCGGTGAACATCCCAACCCCCACTAAAATCGGTTCTGAAATGGGTGGTGAATTCACCTAGCCCAAAACGGGATCCCAAAACGGTTTTGAAAACCACAGCCAAGTAGCCCGCAAAAACCACGAGAACCGCGGTGAGGTGTAAAAGATGTCGAAGCCCGGTCCGTTGGCATCCCCGCCGGCAGCGAGGAGTCGTCCCCGGGGCCGGTGCCAGTGCCCATCCTGCGGCCAAATCGCCAGCCGATTTCGCGGGCGAAATGGCTGGTGTCGTCCAGGACTGATGCGTATGTCTCAAAATAGGGGGACCTCAGAAATGGTGTTCTTTTTCCTTTTGGTACCCTCAAGAAACCTGATGATCGAATGAATTTCAGGGCACACCTCCCATTGCCGACTCTCCGCGCTCTCTCCCCGCCAACAACTCGCCACTCTGCCCCGAGTGGCAAAGGCGCGCCTGGAGCGCAAGCCTTCCTTCAGCAGAATCGCAAAACCTCAGGCTTTGCAATCGTCTGCGCCCACTTGAGAACCTCGACCCCCGTTTGCGGTTGCCTTCACAAAACGTTTGACCTCGTCCTGAGCTGTGTAACCGATCTTCCAAAACCAATTGGGAAGCCACTAATTACAAGGGAAGGGAAGAGAGCTCACAACTGCCCCTCAGACTCCATGATGATAAGCGGGAAACCCATCTTCAAAACACGATTGATAGTGCACGGATGTTCGCTTCAATGGACACTGCAGCATGCCATCTCCAAGCGCCACCGCTAGGATTTGTCGCTGGGCACCAGTTTGCAAGTCGCTGCCAACAACTGCTGCCCGCTCCCAACGTGAGCCCCTGGCATTAATGACCACCTATTGGATAAACAACGGGCTCCTTTTCAACCTGGGGCTACTTTCAACTTCGGTTCAAATATCCCTCCGGCTCAAGCAGGGCAATAATTTCCCACCCGAAGGTTCACATTTTGCCAGCAGAAACACGCGAAATATGGTTGATGCTTCGAAGCAATAAAGTGTGAGGAACTAAAAACGGCACAAAAGGCCGGAAAAAAATGTTACCTTTCCCTCATTCCTTTCCGTTTGGCTTGGTCACACCGCTGCTTCCCACAACGCCCCCTCCCAGTCAACCTCCCCCAACCCTAAGCCAGAGCCTTCCCATTCGCACCCCTCCTCCCCTTCTTACCTGAAACCTCCCAGCCCTGCCAATCCCAGAACCCTCCCGCGCGGACCTCCGCCTCCCCCCTCCCTCCTCCCCCGTCTGCCCTTCACCAACCATTTGTTTCTGTGCTTTCTTCCTTGATTTTTTGGTTCCGAGAGTGTCGCGGGGAGCACTAACGTTTTGCTTTAATTTGTCTTTAACTTGCTTCTCCTAAATCTCGATATCTTTTCGTGAAGTCGCCTGTAACTACTAAACCTACTAAAACTCCAATATGCTCGTGAGATTTCAGAATTGGTCCCTTGTTACACTTTCCCCGCCCGGAATTACCCGCACATCGCCCGCGAAAAGCCCGCAAACGCCCGCAAAAAAACCGCCGCAAATCAGAAAAAGACGTGTCTGTTGGTTCGGGAGTCGCCCAAAACTCCCAGAAATCGAAAAGGCCGGAGAATGCATCTCCAGGTTGGGCTAATTGTCGCGTGAGGCCGACACGATCTCCGACTCCTTTGTGGTTTTATAGGTAAACCCAAAGGAAAAGACACCAAAGAAAGCAAACACTTTCTAGGGGCTCCAGTAGAGAGATAAGAATAATGGTACCCTTTTTCCGTGGTCTATTTTAGTAGGGGAACCCTCCGCCAAAAAGAAGCAGTAAAAGGGCACCCAGCTGGGGGACCTAGCTTTTCAGAAAGCCAAAAAGAAACCAAACAGGAAGGCCCGCTGGGGGACTACAGCCAGGCCCTCGGCAACTTTTTCTTGGGGCCCTTGCATGGCAGCAGGAAGGCGAGCGTCTTCCCCGAGCCTGTCCTTTGGTCAACAGGGGGGGCCTTGGTTGCTGTTGACCCCCCTGCAAAAGATTTGACGTTTTGGGGGTTTAGTGGAAAACCCCTTGATTTCCCAAAAAATTAAAGTCGAAAGATCCACCCAATACCAGTTAAGGGGCATTGATCCAGTGACTCATCGACTCGACCACTTGAAGTGCACAGCTTTGATTGCATCTAAATGAGTCTTGGTCAACAGTACCTTGGGAAGGACATGGGGGGCATCACGCATTTACGCACTAAAAACCAAGGGGACGCATGGATTCTCCATGTTCTCTCGGGGAAGCAAATCATTTTGACTGTGGCTCATATCATATGTTGCTTCAACATTGGACTAGTAGTGAGGAGGGACGCTGATTTACAGTTATATTGAGTCTCTCAATTGGACGAATTCTACTGGACACTGATTCAGAGATCCGCGAAGGCCTCAGTTGCAAAAGGTTGCCATGGAGGAGCCATTGAAGCCTACTGGCGACCATTGGTCGGAATTAGGGGCCGTGCCATTAAGGGCTATTGAGGCGGATAGCCATGACTCGCCATGGCTGTTGAATCACTATTGGAATGCCTTGAACAATACCCACTCTCGCTTGAGAAAATCGCACTTGCCCTTCAAGGGAACGCATGGGAAGGGCCGTTTTGGTGCAAGTAAACCCCCCTCGCCCCCGCCACTGAAAGGAACTGTCCAAGTACCAGGAATTATTTGGAATGTCTGGAATCTAGGTGTATAATGGTGTACATATCTGGATCACATGTCTGTATGTATAAATATATATATATATGCATGTGTATTAATATATATATATATATATCATAAATGTGTTTGTTTGTCTGTCTGTCGGTCTGTCGAACTCTGTATGTCTGTCTGTCAGTCTGCCTGTCTGTCCGTCCGTCCGTCTGTCTGTCGGTGTCTCTGTGTGCGTGTGTGCATGCATATACAGACATGTGTCTGAATGCATACATATATCTATGTAAGTATGTAATTATGTAAGTATGTAAGTGCGTAAGTATGTAAGACCGCAAGTATGCAAGTACGCAAGTGCGCATGCATGTAAGTATGTAAGCATGTAAGTATGTAAGCATCTAAGTATGTAAGTATGTACGCATATATGTAAGTATGGAAGTATGTATGTAACTATGTAAGTATGTAAGTGTGTAAGTGTGTGTATGTATGTATGTATGTATGTATGTATGTATGTATGTATGTATGTATGTATGTATGTATGTATGTATGTATGTGTGTGTGTGTGTGTATGTGTGTCTGTGTGTCTGTGTGTCTGTGTGTGTATGTATGTACGTACGTACGTACGTACGTGTGTGTGTGTGTGTGTGTATGTATGTATGTATGTATGTATGTATGTATGTATGTATGTATGTATGTATGTATGTATGTATGTATGTATGTATGTATGTGTGTATGTATGTATGTATGTATGTCATGTATGTCATGCATGTCATGCATGTCATGCATGTCATGTATGTCATGTATGTCATGTATGTCATGTATGTCATGTATGCCATGTATGTCATGTATGTCATGTATGTCATGTATGTCATGTATGTCATGTATGTCATGTATGTCGTGTATGTCATGTATGTCATGCATGCCTGCATGCCTGCATGCATGCATGTTTGCATGTATGCATGCATGTATGCATGTATGCATGTATGCATCTCTGTAAGCACGTAAGTACGTACGTACGTATGTAGGTAGGCATGTGTGTACGCATGCATGCATGCATGTATGTATTTGTGTGTGTGTGTATGTATGTATGTATGCATGCATGCATGTATGTATGTATGTATGTGCGTATGCAGGTATGCAGGTATGCATACATACATGCATGCAAGCATTGGTACTGACTTAAGGCATCTTAAAGCTACGAGAGCCCTCCCCCAGTTCCGTGTTCAATGGGGTTGCAATTGCTGCGCTTGCCAAAAAGCCTCAATGGGCACATTGGCAAAGGCCTGAAAGGGTAGCCATCACACAGCCAACTCAAAACCCTACCCAGCCACACACAGCCACACATCTACACACCTACACACCTACACACACAGCCACGCACACACACACACCCACACACACACACACACAGACATGCGCGCGCGCGTGCAAATCCTGGGTTTGTCAGGGGACGGGACCCCCACTGCATGCACTGACCCAGAAAAGGTCTCGACCATAGACATCACCCTGCCCAACGGAGATCTCCAGAACAGGCTACCCTTGCAGCCCTTGCACCAACGCGGCGACCAAATTGTGCTTGCTGGACTGTGAGATTTTGCACGCTGTTTGGACCAACAAAAACGAGCTTTTCGCTTCAGTGCGCCATAGAAATGCTCGAAATGGACATTGGGATTGGATGCACTCGAAAAGCCCCAACGTTCCCAGGCCAATAGAAGTCCAGTGGCCCCTTTCCCAAGACGACAGTCATCCATACGGAGCCGATACCATATTTGACAGGGAATCTGAGTGCAAAGGTCCTATGAGTCGTTGGCCGCTTATCACTTGAGTGGATTGGCCAACACACAATGAACCTCTTGTTTATAGCACAAAATATGGCCCAAATCCAAAAGTGGTTGAAGTTCAGAAACTCAGGGAGTATGCCCTCATTCCCGCCAGCCCCGAGCGTTAAAAAAAACTCCCGCAGTCCTGGCCACACCGATCAGATCCCGGCCCGAGCACAGGATAGGCCAGGCCTGCGCCTACAAGAAGACATGCCGTCAAAGGCCAAAGTGGATTGTTCTGTCAGAGGGTTATTACCCAAATGGAATTCCCACTTAGCGTGGCCGAGCATCCCAGCTTTGCTGGAAGGACGCATCCCCATGACACGGCGAAAAGGGGGGGATCTTGTTGTGGCATAGGAAAGCAAGCTGTGTGGCCTTCAATTGTCGCCATGACCCTTCTTGAGGTTTGGTAGAACCATGGTAATTTCGGATTTCTTGGGGCTGCTTCCGGCTTCCAACCCAACCCTGATGCGTTTTGGATTGGTCTTTACCTTCCCGTTTTTTAAGTCGGGTTCTTCCCAGGCTTTTGGGGCCAAAAAGACCACTATTAGGAATCATCTTCATGATCCCCAAGGTAAGGTTGACTCCCGATTGCCGATCTGCGAATACTAGTCAGGGGCCGTTTGTGTGGGGCTATAGTATCCCTATATAAAGGGGATAGATAAATGAATGGTGGGCGCTGCTTTGGGGCATTGCTGCGCAAGAAATGGTGAGGGTGGAAGGTCCTTTTGGTGGACCCTCTAGGCTGGTATTGAAGGAACAAACAAGGGAGCCCAACCATTGCGGGCGGTCGCTCCCCAGCAAATGAACAGAAGAAACTTCAGGTGTCTGTTTGCCACAACATTCCATTTCCTACTGCAATCCACAGAGGAATGCACATGTGTCAAAACTGCTTGCCTGGTTGACACACGTGGCAGGTTGAAGGAACAACCCCAGTTTCTGACACTGATCCCCCTATCACGCCAAACGCCTGGGCATTCCCCAATGCCTGCATCTCGGCCCCTGAAACTAGGTAGGTTTGCGGGTTGAAAAAGCAGGGCCCCTGAAACTCGTGGACCAAGCAATATGTAACGGAAACCCAGGATCAACAAAAACAGGATTGATTAATAGGGGGGGCGTCCAAAATCAAACAACATGCTCATTTTTGGAGGAACACGTGCTGTTTTCCCGTGCTGTAGATGGACAAAAACCATTTCGCACCCCGTGGTAGGTGGCGTATCCTAATATTTTAAGGGATTCATCCATCCCAACTTGTGCTTTTGCCCATCCGCAGAAATTGCCAATCTTCTCTCGGCCTTGCCGACTCTCCTTCCCAGCTGTAGCCAATTCCTTTGACACTTTGGCAAGCGGACAAAGTCATTTCCCCGCAAAGAAGCAAGCGATATCGTTTGTTGACTCCTTGCTACAAGCTAAACCAACCTCTCAAAGACTTCAAAGGTCCAAGAAAAATGGCTGGACACCGCCCACTAAAACGGGCCTGGCTTGGGCCCAAAAACCAAAAACCTCTACCAACAAAAAAAGAAAAACACGAGGCCCGACCCCCCCCCTGGTTTCAACCTCCGCCAAACCGCCCAATCGATGCCCCGCTCCATCCGACTCGCGGACTCGACTCGCGGACTCGACTCGCCTGGATGGGCGTGGGCTCGGTGAAGCCCACCGCCCGCATGGCGTCCACCAGCGGCTTCGTGAGCCCCTCCTCCGCCGCCTCGGCGACATGGAAGGAACCCAGTTGTTTTGGTCCCTGAAAGGGAAAAACAGCCAGCATGGGGATGGTACAACAAAAACATCGGTAGGGTTTTGGACAAAGGAACCCAGTTGCTCTGGTCCCCGTTTCGGGAAAAACCACCAGGCTGATGGTTCTGTTTGAGGGTCATTCCATGGCTCATTCGCTGACCAGCAAGAAAATGACCGACTCAATTTATTGCTGGTCCGATAAGCAAAAAATGAGAAATGGAATCCCCAAACGGTTCATGCCCAACACCAGGAAGGTCAGTCATTCCCTTCTGAGCACCACAAGCAATGCTTCCTAATAACCGAGCTTGGAACATCACTATGATAATCCAGGGTCACCGACAAAATGGGGGGCCAGCTCAAGGTGACCCCTTTAAGCTGATGCAGTGGATGTAGATACGTCTTGACATAGAAGGACATCACTCTATGCAGCTTCCCTCTCCAACAACATCGAATGACTAGATAATACCAAGACCATCTTCGGATCACCCGAAAATGACTTTGAGAGGGACATCTCCGTGCCAGGGCGATCAGCACTGGGCGTGTTCTTCTCCACTTTTTGAGCTGCGTGCTCATCGGCTCCGCCACGGGCAAACGCACTTTTTCACGTGCTGCGAAAAAAAACGAACCGCTGCCCCCCCAAAATGGTTCGTTTTCTTTTGGTTTCCCTTTAAAGACACCGAACAAAACACCCATTTTTCAGAGCCTCCCTACCACTCAACACGCAGGTTCCACGGTACCCAACGGACACGCGTGAGCCGCAGGGCAACGCAATGCGGTTTCGCCCGCGCCTCCAGCGTTGACCAGGGAGGCCACTGGTTTTCAGCATCCTCGCCTGTGAAAAGTCGGGGCCCTATGTCCGGGTCTGGGGTGCTCCAGGACAAAGCGCAAGGGTAGAATTTCGGCTACAAATCAGAAGGGCCCAATACGAAATACCCAGCAAAAGAGAGGTCAACATGTGTATGCCAGTAAGTCCATTTGCCGTGGGTAACCTAAAGAAAAATACACCAGCATAGACCCCAAATAGCAGTGCTTGCACACCAGCACCTCCAAAAGCACCCCCCCGAAGAACGCCCCAAGCAAAACCCGGCCGTCAATCGAGCAGAAATGCGCCCGCACCACCACCCTGAAGAGCACCCCAAACAGCACCACCCAACACACCCAGCCGTCAATCTTGCGAAAATCAACCAGCACCCCAAACAGAATCCCAAACCACCACCTAAGCCGCATCCCCCGCACCCTACCGTCAAGATGCAAACATGCGCCTGCACCGTCACCTGCATGCCCGATAGCACCCGAGTATCGATATCGCAAAAATGCGCCCGCGCCGTCTCCAGCACCTCAAACAGCTCCGAACAAACTGCGTCCCCCAGCACCATCAGCACCAGCACTCCAAACTGCATTCCCCCTGCGTCCTACCGCCTAGATGCCCAAATACGCGCACCGTCACCCCGCAAAACAGCACCTGCACAAGCACCCCCAACTGCATGCCCCCTAGCACCCTACCGTCAATCTTGAAAAGATGCGCCAGCACTGCTACCAGCACCTCAAACTGCACCCCAATTAGCACCTACACCAGCACCCCAAACTGCACGCCCCCTAGCACCAGCCCATCAATCTCGCAAATCACTTTCCCCGCTTTATTAGAAGTTAGAACCCCCTATAGCTTTCAGCTGTCTGGGGAATGAAGGAACTTTGGTGGATACCTGCAATGTATGGGCATCTGGAATACACTAAGTATTTTGGCTGGCCTGTGGCGCAACAACGCCAAAAGCCCATGGTAAACAGTAACCAAGATACAAAAGCCCAACCGGTCACAAGCCAAAGTAAGCGATCCCAATGAAAGGAAGCTTCACCGAAGCCTTGAAGGTGGTTACCGATTCATAAACCATTCATTGCTCGAGTGTTATCCGGGAGCTCGAAAAAGTGTGGGTTTGTCTCAAAGGGCCACGGACAAAAAGTGTCTTTTCCCTTTGGTCCCCTTAAACAACAACAGGGGGTCACAAGAAAGACATACCCGTGTTATGTTGAGTCTTCGTTCAAGGCAAAGGGCTTGGTTCGGCATGGAGTACGAGTTCCAAATTCCAAATATTGCCTCTTCAACAAAATTAGGGTTGGCCACTCCGAATTCTTCACGTGTGAAGCCACTCCTTTTGCGGGCTTCTGAGCACCTTTCTTGGGGATTGGGGTCCAGGCCGTCAGGTGGGGCTGAAGATGAAGGTCCGGTTGGAGGGTGTTGAAAAGGGCCCATTAAAAGAACATTCTCATAGTTTGGAAGAGACTTCCCTCCACAAGTGGCTTCTATTTGTCAAAACCCTCCAAAAGTGGCTTTTATTTATCAATACCACTCACTTTCGGTGACTCGGCGAAAAGAACACCGCAAGGAGCCATTCAGATTTGACGATGCGGCAGTTTCTTGTGCCAGCGGCTCAAGGAAAGGGCAGGATGTTTGCAAAAGGATCTACGATGGATTCGAATCTCCCAGCTGGGAATACTCTACGATCGCTTGAACGTTTTGGGAATCCGCTGCCCCCCAACCACGCTGTAAAAATCCACTCCCAAGGGGCTGCAAACATCAGACTTGACCATCAGCCCTCCGGCCTCTTTGTGCGGCTTGCTCATCGTAGACCTGCGCGGAAGAAGAAGCTTGGTTGGTTTCTGGATAACCCTGTTTGAGGAAATTAGATTGAAATGGCTGTGGGTCAAAATATGTACCCAAAATGGGTTGCCCTGGTCAATGGAAACTTGGACTACAACCTGCGGTCCCTTGGTGGTTTAATTTTGACCCATACCCAAATGGAATCCAAAAGGAACCAACCCATGTTAGGGCGCCCTCTATTCTGACAAACACCGAGTTGGCCCCGCCATGGCCAGTTCAGCTGCTCAATTGTTGGCAGGCCTGTCGCAAAGGTCATCGCTCACCACTCAGCTCCTCCATATAATTTATCATTTCACAAAAGCCTTTGGGGTTCCATGCAGAGGACCTAAACCCAGGGCACCTTCTTGGAATACGCGCGGTTTTCTGGCGTCGGTCCCGTGCTTGCTAAGCGCCTCGATACTCTCTGGAGGCTCCTCGCACCCCATCTGGTGGCTGTCCTGACGTCAAACCGCCCGGTTGACCTTCCCGCCTGCAATCAGTGACAAGTCGATAGACAAATCATTGGAATGGCCTTGTGGGGTAGCCCTTCATGCTACCGGGTTGCCCAGTGACTCTAGAAAGAAATGAGTGTTGACAGTTCAAAGTAGGCTCGGAATCCACCAGACACAGAAAAGCAATCTGTTCAGACCCGCCTTCAGTCAAGGCTCACAGTGGCAGCTTCACACACGCATCGCGCAAAAAACAAAACAAAACAGAAGACTTCCCCAATTGATGGGGTTTTCTTTCAGTTCCTTTGGAGCAATTCAATTGACACCGTGCACCGTTTTGGGGTTCTGCGGGCAGGGTATTCCCGGCTCAGGGAAAGTGGCAACCATGTCCCTTGTCCATGTCATCAGGGGCTTGATTGCTTGTTGGTTTGTCATGATTCGTTGCCAGGACATGTCCAACCACGCACAGAGTTGACTCCCCACTCTTTTGCCCCAGCCACACGGGGGCCTGTCAAGAAGTTGGCGGCTGCCTCTTGCATGTTGCTCTAAGAGAAGCAAAAAGAAAAGCGGCAAGTCAGTTTGAAGGGACCCTTGGGTAGAAAGCAAAACCGCCAAGCCATTCTGAAGGGAGCTTGTAGGAAACGCCCGTATCATCGGGGGGGATGTTTCCAACATTTAGGTAAGGATGCTTGAAGTCAGACTATAGCTCTTCACCAAATCGCTCCGACCCCCTGCAAAAGGTTTACCCTTTGCTGGTTGCGAGGGAAATGAACGAAACCCAAAAAGGCAAAGGGGAAAGGGACGAGCTCAGTCTGGCAATGTTCGTGGGATCTTGACAACACTCCTGGAGACAACTATCAGCTACAGCTCAAATCGTGGCAAAATCCGTAAGGTGTCGGGTCCCTCGCCTCTTCCTCTTTCTGCTCAACCCTGGCATGTGCCGGGACGTGGAGGAAACAATGAGCTACCTTCTATTACCTCCTGCAAATCACCGGGAAAAACAAGTCGGCGCATATTGTTAAAAGTCTTGTCTAAAGCATAAAAACATGGAAGGTGTCTGCAACCGGCTACTATGAAGGACCCTGAAAAAAAAGCCGACACAGTCGGTTTGACAATCTGTTCCATGTACTCTTTGCCACAACTTGGCAGCGACACAGACCACCCCCAAAGACGCCGGAAGGGTTGGCGGGGGGTTGGGAGGGTCTTTGGGGGCCAGTTGTCAAAGAAAGGGTTCCCCAAAAAAAGTCACAAAGAGTGCACTCAATGCATCCGCTTGTTGGACGACCCTGGGTTCCTCCAAAAGGCAACAAGGTCAGTCAAGCCTGGAAATTAAAACCAGGCGGAGCTGAAAAGCGAAAATCAGCTCCCTCCCAAAACAGCCACTAAAACAGTCACTTTGTTGCTGGGACCCCATTGCTCACTTGTTTCTTGGACCGCTCCTTTGGTGGACATCATGTCCGCCAAACGAGTTTTCAAACATTTCCACGCATCAACCATGGTTCTAGGGGTACCTTCCCCATTCTTTCCTGGGATCCTTCTTTTCAGGAAACCATCAAAAACAACCCAGGGAAGCAGCAGGTGTTTGAAAAGAACGATGGTTGAAAAGAATGGGGAATCAACCCCTAGAATGGTGGAGAAGCTACATCATTTTGTCGGTGAGTGATAGCTTCCCACCCTTCTCAACGGGCGCCCATGGTCTCAGGGTCAAAGGGCTTGCAACGAGGGCCTGAGAAAAGGCCCGATGGACTGCTTACGAAACAACGGGTGTCGGAACATGAGGAACCCCCTACAAGTGGTTGCCCTATGTTGCCATGTGGTTCCCTTCCAACAGCTTCCAAAAGCGGTGCCTGGTACTAGATGCCCTGAAGCAAAAGCTAAATGCGTGCAAAGCTAACTCCAGCAAAGTATTTCTGACCACCCCACGTGAGCTATTATCAAACATTGATTGCGTCTCCCAATGAAAGTCACTGCCTTAATTCATGAAGGCTGGAAGGGGAGGGGAGGGGAAATGAGCCCAAATAAGCCCTAAGCAAGGCCTTATTAAGGGCTGAATAACTCCCTCCCCCCCAGCCATGAATTAATTGACCGGTCAATATTGCCTGTTGCTCACCCCACTTCTGCCATACGGAGCCTGGGCCCCGGCTTAGCTAAGGCCTCCGATTCGGCTTTCTTGCCAGAGCGCCCTTAGAGGGGAAGTCTGTGTCTACCTCAGGTTTTGCCCCCCAACCAAACACAAGTTTGACTCTCCATACTTGGTAAGCCTTGCAACTCAGACGAGATCTCATTGCCAATGCTCCCCTCATTTAGCTCTGAATCCTTGTTTGACGTAGAAACTGCCCTTTTTTGGGGTCGAAATGGGGTGCAACACCAAACAGATTCCAGGTACTGTGCACTTTGGACTGTGGATGGACAAACTCCCGCACCAGGTGGTAGGCGGTTTATCCCATTGAAAGATAGGGCTTCATCCGCGCCAACTAGCGGACGTGGTCCATTCACAGCAAACATGGCCGTGGGCGAAAGCAAACATAGGCTAAAGCCTCCCCTGATGGTTTACCTTTGTTTTCCCGCAACGTGGTCTGAATGAAACACGCCGGCGCCACACTTCCACTTTGAAGCCTCGATCCGTCTACTTCGGTTCTCGAGCCCCGAAACCGAGCAACGCCACCACAGCAGGTATTCAGTGATGGGTCTCCCAGTGATGGGTCTCCTAAACAGAATCCATCCCCGTCTGGGTATGTGATTCAGCAGCATGCTCATGTTAGAAGAAACCCGTTAAGGTCCGCAAATCCAAAGTTGACGCCATTCAATTCTTGGGAGGGTTGGTCTCTGACCCCCCGGACATTTTGCCAAGTAACTTGCTTCCGGTCAGCAGTGAAACCGTCATGTTTAAGCAACAAGTTCCAAGACTCAGAACAGTTTCACCGCTCGCCAATCAAGCTAGAGGCGTTGAAGTTAACAGTCAACGGACAAGCCAACAAGAAGCCAGGGAGGCGCCAGCTCTAAATAGAAAAACTATTCAAATGATCAAAGAGTGAACAAAATCCGGAGACACACCGTGAATTCAAATACCTCGAAGAACGGACTGTTAAGAAGGAACCTTCATCATGGGAAAGGTTGCAAAAGCCGCTTTTGTGGAGTCAGCTTCGCCCAAAACAATCTGAAGTTGACATGAACCCATTCCGGAAAACCGCTCCCAGACGAACATTGAATCATCACTCGATCACCCAGCTAAAGGGCACACCTTCTTTGGTTGGGCCAACAAGTGATGTCTGATACAAACAAGAGCAAGTTGCCCTGTGTTGGTGGCAGAAAAGTGAACCTTGCTTGGGGTGACCACTTTTAGCGGGGAACACGCTAATATCACAAAGATTGTGATGGCTAATTACCACTGAACAGCCAGGAACAGGCGAATGTCAATCGGGTCCCTTTGGCGAATATCATTTGCATTCGTGTTTCAAGTCCACCCACGACACAACAATAGTCTGAGTGAAAGAGCTTCCTCACTTAATTGATGCTGAATTTCTGCAAGTGGCTCGTTGACAGCCTGAATATACACTAGCCAGTGGGCAAGGCCACATGCGCCACGGGTATCGGTGGTTACTTGGGAGTGTCAATCCGCATTGACATCCATATAGGTATGTCCCGCAACCATATTTCCCCAGCCCCACTTGGCATGGCGTTCAAGGGAAGTCAAAGCAAGACCCAAGGGAAACAAAAGGAACATCGAGCAGTCTTCAGCAAGGTTCCGCCAACCTTTGTCTCTAACCCGTTTGAACGCATGTTGCCCGATGCTTCTGATGGGTCCGTGTTTGGGAGGTCGGGTGCACGATGGTCGACTGGGTGGCTGGCGGCTGGCAGCCTCCTCCTTGGCCTTTTGCTGTAGAGCCTCAGTACCCCGCCCCCCGACACCTTGCGCCGAGGCCCGGGGCCTGCCTTGTTGCTTTTTTCTTTTTGGAGCCAGCCCGTTGCAGGGAAGCCGAAGCCCGTTTTGGGGATCCGAAGCCAATTATTTTGACACATAGCGAGTTGGCATCCTCGCCCTGCCACCATGGCATGGTGCACAAACCCTTGCAGGAATGGAATAAGCGAACCATGCCCCCGAAATCCTGAAAATCACCTAACCTCCAGTGGCCAATGGGAAAAAAAGGGGTAGTTGCAAGGGACACAATTTGCTCCTGGTGTTCCTTTCCGGGAACCGAGGGATTCATCAGCTTCTTGATGTTGAGAGGCAGCTGATGTCAAATACAAAATCCAAACCAGACCCGCCGGTCTGGGATCGGCTTCCGGGCGCAAAAGCTACCCTCCAGCGAGGCTTTCGCACGGGCCGCCTGGCGTCGAAGCAACGGCTCGCTCGAGCCGCGAGGCCTCTCGACACACACCCGTCATCACTTCCTTGCTGATGCGACAGGTAGGGAATGAGGGAATGACCCTGGGGTCCCCTTAAGGAAACCACAAGGGATTCATTCCCTCATTCCCTGCTGATCACGAGCAAGCTTCCGATTGAGTGGATGGTCCAAACAAAGTGGACGCACTTTTTGCAAAGGCCACTAAAATGGTTCAACGGTTCAACCCCAAAAAAGTAGAAATCACGTCCAGGAACTCGGGATGTACGCCCATCTCTTGCGGCGAAATCCACTTGCACCACTCGGGATGGATGAAACCCTTTCTCAATGCGATACACCTACTAACTGTTCCAGTAATGCTTGATCGCCAAAACATGGGAACTTGGGCCTTCTTCCCCTAGCTTTGTGGGAATTTGGTTTGTCTCCCATCCCCCAAAACCAACGGCAGACTAAGTTATCGACCATGTTCCCTTCAAATATCACCCCGCCAGAGGGCCTTTCCAAAATTCGACGTTTTCACATCCTCCCACCAATCTGACACCTGTGGAATAGTACGTTTTGCTCAGGGAGTTAAACGCCTTTCCTGAGTAGATTGCCAAAACAAAAATCGATCATATTTGCCACTGTACCCAAGGATCCGTTCCTTTCCAAAAGGCAGTGCTTTCTTTGCTTTCTTTTTGGATTAGAGACCACTCCAAGTGACAAGCTTCATGTTGCTTTCCTGGGCAATTCTTAGGTCCAACATGTCCAACCTAAGAACATCACCTCACAAGAAACAAACACACTATTACAAACATGGCCCCCAAGGTGATGCGGGGAACCCTGCCTCTGTCTGTTTAGAGCTTGGTTTGCAGGGGAAGAAACACATTCAAATCCATTGCTGGGTGACTGAACATAGTTCATACTCACCGACACAAAGTTGGTGCTCCTTATTTGACCTGAACTTTCACCTGAGACCACTCATCGGGCCATATAGTGACTCAAACCAGGAACCGAGAAAGGAATCTTCACGGGGAACTTGCCAACCTACACATCCTAAAGCTAACAACGTTCGTCCGGAAGGTTGTCAGACATAGGGGATTCCCTTGCAAGGGGGGCGAGACCAAAAACAAACACCATCTTGCCAACCTCTTCACGAGCCTTGGCACTGCTCTTCTTTGAGACCCCCCAACTGGGTTTGTGCCAATTACCTTCGAGCCCTAACAAGGTGGGGCTGGAGTATGCAACTACCCTTTCACTGCATTAATCGATGATGCATATCGATCGTTGCGTCCACGATAATCACTTCCGACCGAAAAGCGACAAATCCCAGGTAAGTGTGTGGTGTTTAACCATACCACTGATACAGTATGAGGTGCGTTCAAAGAAAAAGTTATACAAATCTGACGATACCCCCTAAAACATCCTAAAACATCCGGGCTGCCAACAGCTGCTGGAGAACAAATCATAATCAATGACTCACTTCCTGAGTGGATTTGTACAAACACACAGGTCCAAACATTAAGTCTGGTCTGGAAGGCAAACCCTTTTTCTGGGGTTGGTCAAACTGACCCCTGCAAATGGTTCATTCCCATGACTAGTAGAGGGATTTCCCTTCCCTCACCTGGGGGCTGAACAGGGGGGTTAGACAAAACTTAACGAATACCCACCCCCTTGTGGCTTCCAGTCAAATAAACAAACGTAAACTTCCATTTGCTTAGGCCCCCCCAATTAAAAAATAATATGTCCAGTATAGATTCCCTTGAAACCAACAGGGGACAAACAAAGATATTCTTGAGCAAACGGAAAGCGCTCAAGTTGTCCCGCGGCCTCCTCGGCTTCCGCCTCAGCCCCGTAGCCCACACCTGCTTCGGGGGAGAAACTCCTCTCTATCTTCCCAACTCTGAACGCTGGGAGGGGAAGGGTTCCCACTCCGGATACCGGGGGTGGTGATTACCCTAGCCACTTCAGTAATGATGACTCCGGGCGACGATGCTTTTCGAAAGGGGACCCTCTAGAAGGTTCCTGTTAGTCACCCATGGGGCCATGGGCTGATGCCTCTAGGGATGGGCTAATCTCGGACGACTCTTGGGGTCATATGGTGTCTTCTTGAGTTGGTACCCTTCATAGTAGGGGTTAACTTAGACTGGCGTGAATGAAACAGTCAACCTTTTTGGGATAGGTCCTACTGCTTCTTCCGATTACGACACATCACAAGCGACCGCGAATATCAACCGCTGACCACTGGGTCGGTCAAACTGCCCCACATGCGAGACAAGTTGTCTTAATGGTTGGCGCCAGCTCGCGGGATATGTTCGCACACCATTTGCACAAAAAAAAGAAGAGATTGCTTGGCCAGACTATTGGACCCCCTGCAGCCAGCTAACGGTTGCTGGTCAAAAAGGAAAAAGATAATGAATGAAGAAAACCCAAAGCACCACAAAGCGGCAATAGTTCAAGGATTAACCAAATGGCAAATGAGATAATCTGAAGGTGCGCGGCTGAGCAAATGGTCAGTGACAGTGGCCATACCCCAACGACTTGTATTATGAGGTGTTGGCTTCTAGTGATGGTCACCAGGATTCCAAAATGTGCCTCAACAACCAGCACCTGACAAGCCACTCAAGACAACAATGAAAACCTCACCCCAGCCTTAAAAACCCACAAGGCGCCAGTAAAGAAATCGACAAATCCTCAAAACGGAGCCCTCAGACCCATCCGCCTGGGCCCCCGGCGTCTCAAGGCCTCAAAGCCCAGAATCTCCTCGGGGCTCCGTCGAGTGACCCCCAAAATCGTGGCCCAAATCGGTGGAGCTGTCAGATTCAGTACGCGAATTTCTCACAAGCAAAACCCGGTGATAAAATGGGCTGAAGAAGTCAACACGCCGCACCTAAGTCCGGTTGGGACTGTACCTTAACCTTCTCTTGCCCGAATCGGCTTTGGTTGTGACTCAACTGGTCCTTGTGATCACTAAAACGTACTGCGCGTGTCGTTTTCTTGGGCCACACCTTGGGGCCCCAGCCGCATCGGTCCGGGCTCGCTTTGGCTCCGGCTCTTTCACATCTTCTCCTGCAGCGGCGGAGGGGGAAGTGGAACGAGCGAGCCCAAAGGCCGTCTCGCCCTCTTCTCGCTCTTCGCTTTTTTTGTTGCAGTGGGGAGGGGGAAAATAGTTGCTTCTGTCTCTAACTTGTGAAGGGAAGCCAACGGTAGATCCACCGCTTTCCGGGGGCTGGATTGAAACTGACTCAGCACAAAAAAAAACACAAAAAAAGCAAAGGTTGCAGGGGGAGGCGGGTCCATACAGGTCCATGCAGGCAAAACCATGTGCCTAGGTCGACGGAATACTTAACCTAGCGGAACAATGATGTGTGCGTATGTCTGTGTGTGTTCAAATACAAAGCAATCCGGATCCCTCATATCAAACCATACAACACCCCTCAAGCAAATGCAACCAGCTGTTTGGCTAAGTCCCGGCTTCTCATTAGCTTCTCGGACCAAACTTGGAAAGGATTCGTTTCTCTCTTCTTCATGAGCCGCGTTGTTGAGCGTGTTCCAACTGTTTCATAAGGATTGTCTCCAGGGCACCCCTCGTTGGATTTGTCCATGTTGAGAACCAGTTGGACTCACAGAATGTCTGTTGCCATTCCCGTTGTTAGTTGTAACCATGGCCGCCATGGCCCCTATGCGTCCAAAGCCTATTTAAAAAATAGGCGTTGTGACTCGTGACAACCCTGGCTTTTTGACAAAGACTATTTGTTGATGACGAGCGGCCGCCTCCGTTTTGGACTGGAACAAGGGCTAAGGCTAGGAGATACTTGATGCTAAGGCCGCTCCATAGGATCCCAAAGCCGGATATGTTTATACATATGCAGCAATATGTTTTACTATTTGCAAGGCTAATGTTGGCTTCTTTGTCGCTTGGTTTCTTAACATGGCCATGCAGCGCGTGAAGGTGAACCCTCTTCTGACCATTTCTGTCCTTCTTCTGGCCCACCCCCTTAGCAAAGCAAAAAAACAAGATACAGCCAACATCTCCCCCATGACAGCAACCATTCCAGGATGAGGATGTTGATCTTCTGGTTCCTCTGGTTCCCCGGCAAAATTTGCCCGTCCTATTTCACAATGGTAAAATAGTGGTTCTACGCCAAAAAATGGTGTTTCTACTGCTTTTCTACGGTTTGTCTACAGTTTGTCTACGCTCACGTTGTTTTTGGACCTGTGTGAAAATTCGAAGGGAAAAAAGCAAGCACACAATTGCTTGTGTTTTCGTGCCACCTGAGCAAATTGCAGAGAACAATTCTACAATTTGCTAGAATGAAGGCTCTGTTTACGCAAAAACTTTCAGCAGGTGCGTTGCGCAGACACAAAAGGGGCCCGAGGACCCTCTCAAGAAATAGTAATTTACCTGGCTGGCAGAGATATGTGGCTCCAAAGGCTGGCGCAGTGTTCAAAAAGAAGAAGAAGAAGTAACAACCCAAAATGAACCCCAAAGGCCGACGTCAAAAAATAGGGGTTGTCAATGCAAAAAATAGGGGTTGAACAACCCCTATAAAAAAAAAGGTCAAGGAAGCATAGGGTAGCTACAACTCGCGCATTTAATAGCAGAATACTTGCATAAGGATCTTCGTTTTGAGTGGGGGCTTTCTTCCTGAGAAGGTCGGCCAAGAAAAGCCTAAACTATTTGTTTCCAAATCCAACAAGTCAAGTCCAAGTACTTGACCCACTCGTGTGCGATGGCGGCTTTCGCAATTTCCTGGGCCCGGCCTGCCACGTCTGCTTCCGCCTCGGCCTCGGCAAAACGCAGCTCATGTTGGAATGCAACTTCTGCCCCAACAACTTTGAGTCTTTCAGTCTCAAACTTGTGAGTTTCATCCTGTCATTGGGCTTCAGGTAAACTGAACCATCAATGGGCGAACCCTCTATCCGTCCCAAATAAGAATGTCTGCAACAGGCACCAGATGTTAAAAGCTGCCCATAGTATTCCAAGAGGGTCAAAGTGCTTCCTGAGGATGCAACTTTGAAAGTGAGAAAACACCGAACAAAGTATACATTGTCAGTAGGTACTTAGACCCTCTGGGATGGAAGCTTCAGGACCTTCATCATGGAGCCGGAGATCGGTGAGGTGTGTGCCTCTGCTGGGTCATGCTGGGTCCATCAACTGTCGTGACATGTTCCTCAAGACTATCTCAAAATACCTCTCTGAGTCTCGGAGTGGGGTTGAAAAATGGTTTCCCACCGAATAAGTACTTTGGCGAGGCCCCCAAAATGGCCGCTTGCTGGGAGCCAGCTCTAACAGATTCTAACGGCAACCTTATGGCTTTGATAAGGGCGAATGTGTTGATTGGGTCCAAGGTGATGATCTCGAAATATTATCAAGTGGTTCACATTAAGCAACTCCACGCACAAATCAGAAACGTATCGCCAACAAATTCAAATCGTCCATTCAAAAAGCGTCCATCAGGGCAAATGGCCGCTTGTTGAAACAACAAATGGTTGAACAGAATAAAACAAAGACTCAATCCTGTCTTCTCCCATGAACAAGTTAGCGCATGGTAAATGGAAAAGGATTCAATGCCAGTTTTCTACACTTGTGGCTTTCGCAACCATGTAGAACATTTTCAACTAGAGTGACACCCTCCAACTACTCTCCAAGGTGGTTCAAAGGGGTTCCCACCTACCCCCAAGGCGATTTCGAGAACTGCGCAAGATGAAACCACTGCAAGGCACCCAGCAGCAACTCAAAGGCTTAAACGGTTGGCTTTGCACCACCAGGAATGGACAAGTACTCCAGCCACTGAGATGGTCTGGGGACCAGTTAGATCTTAGTATCTCTAGTTGCAAGGACGGCTGACTGGCTTTACTAGCCCCTTGGCTAACCCCCCGGCCCACCTAAGCAGAAAATTGATCACTTTTCTTGGTACCGAGGTCGCTGCATCACCTTCATCGTCCGACAGCAACGCCAAAGGGTCCATCGCGTCGGATCCGTCGGAACAAGCGGCGGCTTGAGTATGTTTGGCTGGTCAAACAGGGCTCCTTATATATCACCCCTTTGAAGGAATGATGCCAAATACATTCATTGGCCGCTTCTAAAGCGGAAATGAAGCCATGCAAAAGCAAACCAGACAAACCTCCAACACACAGTAGAAAGTCTGGTGACAGTTGGCGGAGGATTGGCTTGGTCCTGAGGCATGGCCAGTTTGGCCAAAACGCTGATCACTGATCACTTGTGTCCGAATTTGCCTCAACACATCCATCCTTCTCCATGGCAGCATTTGCAAACCACAGTCGGCTTGCCCTCTTGCTCGTTCTGCTTCACAACTCGAAGCAACTATGAGTCTACAAGAGACTTGCCAACAGCCTGGGTAGTACTTGGGCTGGTAAAAAAGCATCTCCCACAGGTGATCAAAACACACGTTTTGTCGACCCTTTGCTCGTTGAGACCCACCTCACCCGGTCTTGCGAGTTTCTTTCAGCTTAAGCCAGCGATGGGTTGTCAGCGATGGCTTGGGGTTGTCCCAGGGTCCATTTCCAGAAGGAACCTGGACTGGGCCAGAAGCAATGCCTCATTCAACACTCGGATGTCCATCCATCACATCATCCGAGGTCACAATCGAATGCCGAATGTACCCCCAAAACTGTGGGCGGGTGCCCTTTGGTGCGTGTTCCGCAGATACTAACTTTGTGGCTTGCGCGGTTTTTGCTAATTGGATGCTAGACCATCACTCATCACTCCCTTGGGGCTGGACTCATGCACGAATCTGGTCAACCCCTCTCTTGATTGGTTCGTTGACTCAAGCCCACTACCCCATGCCTGGGTGACCGCCTTTTATATGGATGGGAAATGGCGACCGGGCCAAAACCGAACCTAAAACTAAAAGTTTAATTCGCGTGTTCGCCCCTGTTGGATTCTCCAAACCCCTGGACAAATACCGTATACCCACTCGCCTGTGTGTGTCAAAGCTTTTGGCAAAGTAGGGCACTTATAAATGATTCACACAACTGAAACCAGTAAGACCAACTATCTTCAGCCAAACTGGCCGCAAAGGACACCTCTGGCCTGAAGCGCCGAAACGCGAAGTTCAAGTTGTGTTCCGCCTTTTTTGTTTCGCCGGGTGTTTCCACTTACCAGTACAACAAGCACCAAGCAACCAAAGAACAAAAAACATCGAGCATCAATTCCTGGTTACCTGCTATGGTGAAGCGAAAAAAATAACTTTGCGCTTGCTAAGTATGATGCATGCAGTTTCCCCACTTGTTTGGGGGTTGAAAGCAATCTTGGGGGGTTCCATAAAAAATCACCCCAGAACAAAATATCTTCAGATTATATTTCATGCTGTATCTCCTCAATCATAAACAATACTTTTGAGGCTTTTGTAGTCTGCCCCGAACAAACAAGTGAACAAAGCACAACAAACTAGTAAACCATCAACACGTTTTAACAACTCCAGTCTTGCAGTGAGCGCATGAACAGGTTTAGGCCATCAAAGTAATACGTGTGTACTACAAATACCAAATACCTTGTGAACACCCGCCCACCAAAAAGGTGGAACATCTTGCAATGAACCAACAAATTAGATGGGTTTCCCGATGAACAAACGATAAGAAAATCGTATGGCTGTAAACCTCCCGAAAACAACATAGGGGAAAAAAACAAAAAAACAAGCGGGGGGCCGAGGGGGAAACGGGGGGGGGGCTCTCGCCGCGTCTCTTTTCTCCCATCGGACAGTCCGAGCGCTTGGCCTCGGCCCTCCGCACCGCTTCCGCCACCCAGCGTGCGAACTTGAAGCCGTCCACCGCCAGGTTCTCCTCGCGTGGCGTGGCGACGTAAGAAGCGTCAAACCCAAAAAGCGGGTCCCAGTCAAACCCCGGAAAGTGGATAAACCTCTGCAACTTGAGTCCCAATCAAAACCTGGACAAGTAAAACTTGTGGTCTTCACAATATGTGAAGACTCACAAGGGCGGCCACACCTACTTGTGGTGAGGATTGTCCCTTACTAGCCTTCAATTACCCGGGTTTCGTTGAGGCTCCATTTGCCTAAGAGGTAATTCTGTCTATTGTTCCCTCTTGGCTTTTGCGGCAATTGGTGACTGGCACATGCGTCCCATTTATATACCTACTCAAATCCTGGGCGGATTGGCCGACAACCATTTGGCACCTTGGCTAAAGTCAACCAAACCGGAGACCCACAGGAAACAAATATGTTCAAAGCAAAACAGCCAAAACACACACAACACTGACCAAAGGGCTGTCAAAAGGACCCCGCCCCCAAAATAGCGCAAAAGAATCCACTTAACAAATCGTTTGGTACCGTTGAAGGTCCTGGATTATGGTAATGCTTGTGTGCCAGAAAAACAAGTTCGAGGGCACTTCCTGACATAAATGGAAACACCTCACTTTTCTGGACGCCTCAAAATAGTGGCTTCTCAAAAGTGCCTGGTCTATACAAGGAAACTGCAAGAAAATCAGCCAAGTGTTTCAGAGCCAGGGCGCATGGCGCCAGTAGGCCTCCCGCGCCGTGGCCCGCGCCGCAGAGAAGCGCTTGCTGTCCTTGCTTTCTGCATTCGTTCCGAGCGAGAAGTTCAGCTCGTAAATTAGATGAGGACCAGCGCGTATTGATTTACCAGGGGTCCGCAGGTTTCTTATAAACTCCCGGTTCCCATAAGCGGAACAATCGAAGCGAATAGCGCGAGGCAACAATGTTCATTTGAAACAAAGGACTACACAGCAGCTGAGTCGCGGAATTTGACTGCCATGTACCCCGCATGGCTCCAACCTCAACAACCAAAAGCAGAAGCTGATGATTGTCAACCAATAGAACAGCATAAACAACATAATAACAAGCACGTGTATAAACAAACACAACCAAACCAGTAATCGTCAACTCGTCAGATCAACAAAACAACACAAAACAATATCACAAAAACAACCACCACAATGCAAACAAAGCACACATCAAAAACCCATATCGTTGGGGGACACGACAAATTGACCATGCCTCACATACCAACTCAAAAAACAGTCCAAGCGCAAAACAAAACACAATATACCAGTTCCATGGTATATACAGCAATCCTGGACCTAACCCAAAACCAAGACAAGCCAATCAAAGCAAACAATCCAGCCGCCAACAAACACATATATATATATATATCAACTCCATGATGTATCAAAACCAAGGCAAACCGATTAAAACCAACCCCCAAAACGCCGGCCAGGCCGAGCCGCCGGCACCTGGAGCAGCGCCGCCTCGCTGCGCAGGCACACGTGGTCCACCAGCGCCAACCTGGACGCGAGGCGCTCGTAGCCTAAGGGTACCTTTCAATTCTTTCCAGAGATCCTCCTTGTTCTGCCAGAGTTGGAAAACCATCCCAATTCTTTCCAGGGATCCCTCACTGCCCAAAACCGGGATTCTCTTTCCAGCTACGTTTCTTTCCAGGGATCCGAAGAATCTTTCTAGAAAACCTCCGGAAACCGGCTGGAAAACGGATCTGGTTATTGAAAAGAAGGATGGTTGAAAAGAATGGGGAATCAGCTCCTGAAACCTTTCCCCCCATTCTAGGCTTTTAGTTGGTTTAACAGAACAAAAGGCTGAGCTCAAAGGCGATGTTCAAACTACAACCCCTAAGAAATGCCAAAAGGAGGGTTGTGGTTTGTGGGAATTAGGGTGTGGGTGTGTCCCTTGTGGTTTTCTGTGATCGAGGGTCTCCTTATGGCTTAAAAGTGGCGGCAGGAATGAACAGACTTGGAACCCGGGGCTAAGTGACAACTAAGTGACCAAACAATTTTATAGACAATACACAAAACCACAACGAACGATGGCAGGCGTGTGGGAATGATGGGCTGCTTGCTCCCATTTCCGTGATACCAGGAAAGCTTCTCTGTAAATTGAGAAATTATTTGAAAGGGCTTCCATTACAGCAGTGGAAGCGCAATTCCCACACTGGCCAACAGGGTCTCACATTGAATGCGCAGTGTTCCTCTATCTAAGGTGATTCTCTCTTGTCAAAGGCTTCAAAGGAGAAATTCTCAATGGTGCCCTTCCTCCCACCAGCTGGGAGGATAGCTGGAAGAACAGGTTCCTCTACCAGTGCCATGATAGTGTGACGGGGGTTAGCAAAAACAATATGAAGGTGTCGTTTTCTACTGGTAGTTGTTGGTGTTGTTTCAAAACCAAGACGGAAGGGAAGCCACGGAGCACCCAGATTGGTGCTTGGATGCCCTCCACGGTAGGGGTTGAAATCCCCAAACCACCAATCACCAATTTGAGGTTAGCCTTCAGCAAGGATCTGGAACCCCGATTGTGGCCTGCCTGGGGATCTTCCAATGTGTGCTACCTGTACCTATTGGTGGAGTCTGCTAGTACTTCTCACTATGAACTATGAACTGATTCCTGGGTCTTTACAAAGAAACGGAACAACAGAACAGCGGACTGAACCAACACTAGTTGGAGTCAAACAAATTGAACCAAAACGGATTGTGTTTTAAATTGAAATTCCAAAAGCACCTCATACCGTTTGAGGAACTTAAGGAACCACCCATTTTTGGGGAACACCAATTCACTCGCTTTCAGCAAAAACGCCCCCCAAATCCAAGCCGACAGAATTGGGATGTTAAGTTAAGAATCTATCAGCAGGGAAGGCTAAAAGCTCCCAAAGGCGGGTCTCTTCGTGATACGTTTCGGTAGCATGCCTTGCCACAAGGAAGCCGTTGACCAAGATTCGGGCCCTTGGGGCTTTGGTCATCGTTTGGGAACGGCTCGGATGCTTTAGGTCTGTGACGGGGATCCCCTTCAAATGAGGAAAGCACAGATTCGTGGGTGTGGAACGGACCCCGAATTTGAGACACACCCATTTGCCAACCACTTTAAGCTTGAGAGGAAATGTGCCTGGCCTTGGAATAGTTGGCCATTTAGCCAAGGATTGATTCCAGTTCATACCAGCCGTACCAGTCAATCATATGACCAGTAAACAATATTACCACGCTTTCGGTTTTGGGTGGTCCCCTAAAGGTTGATGGGCTCGCCCCCATCGGATTCTGGTAGTACTGTGCTGTACTACTGTCGTGCATTCGGGCCCATGCAGTTTGACTTTGGACCTCTCGATGAATCTGCCTGGTGCCGCGGTGCTACTCAGCAGGCTTGCCGGTGTCAAGAAAGGCAAACAACGTAGACGCCAAACTCTTGAGCTCCTTGGCGGTTGGGGTGAGTTTGTCCCGAAAACCAATTCAACTGGTGTCCATCAAAATTGCCTGTAAATGGCCAAACAATAAGAAATGCTCGACCAAACAACATTCGCCAGCAAACCCCCCAACGACCGCCTTTTCCAACGTCAACAACTCCCTTGCCAAAAAAAAGCTGTTGGGAGGGGTGCGCTGGTGATGCAGGTCGTTTTCAGCCGTTTCCAGCCTGCCGAGACCGCCGAACATGCCCAGGCCATCCACATTCCACTGCTCGCTGCAGCGGTAGAGGCAGGGCTGCACTCCACGTGGAATCCTCCCGCGGCGGGAAAGAAACGCGCCGCTTCGACGCTCCACCCCCGTGCAACGCAAGCCAGGAACCCCCAGTGGGCTTCCGTGGGCCGGCCGCAGCGAGTTTTCCATGGAAAAATCTGGCCGCCTGTTTGGTTCCATTGGAAGCTGACTTTGAAGGGGCAGCTCCACAGAAAACGACAAAGGGAAGCGACCCCACGGCCCACAGCACCGAACCCTCGCATGCGAATTCATGCCGCCGGGCGGCCACTCCAGGACTTGGGCACCGGGGCGCATCAAAAGCAGCCTGGCCGGGCAAGTTGGGCCCATGTTCGTATTGGGGGCATACCGATTTTAAGGCGGCCTCAAAATAAACCAAAGGACAATTGCACTTTTGGATGTCCGCCTATCTTAGAATACTATAAGAGCGAGCCAAGTGAACAGGGTGAAGAACACCAGAATGGAGCCCATGTTCACATTTATGTAACCATGCGGTAGATGTAAATTTCGACTTTGCTTCTGGTTTCCTCTGGTTGAGTACTGCATCGGCAACTGGAAGCACCACAGCGAATGGACCAAATCCCCCTCACACCACTTGGGATTGGTGGTTCATCTGAGTTGCTTCAGAGGGTTATCTACGCCAACCGGCGTGTTGCGTGGACTTTGTCCATCCACAGTATGGTTCAACCAAAGAAGGTGAGCCCATTACTCACGACCCGCCGCTTCTATTCAGTGAGTTCCTCCGTGTACCGAGCCCCGATTGGAGCATAGAAGCTTTGACCGAACCTTACTTGCTTTACCAAAGACCACGATCTCAAAGGTAACCTTGGTAAAGAATCAACAGAGCTTCCTGCAGAACCTATTGGAGGCTGGGACGCCTTTAACCATGGACCTTCTGGCGCTGGCTCCATGGCGGGATTTTCTTTGAAGCAAAAACACTACAAAAACGTAGCAAGCTGCGATCAACATAGACCGAAGTTGGGAAACCAGGCGCCCTTCAAGTACCCAAGCTTTCATTGTGCCTCACCTGCAGGGCTGCTTGTGGTGAAATGGGCATCTTGCAACAGCGCGGAGCAACCCTGTTTGGGTTTCCCCCCTTTTTGCTTCAACATTGGTTTCTCTTCTCCAGCACCCCCACCGCCCAAAAAAGAAGAGGAAAACAACACTGCCTTTTGGACAGTACCCAGGGGATTTTTGGGCCACGCTTGAAAAGGCAGTTGCAAGTTGGGGCCCGGGTGCAGGTTTACCAACTTTTTGCTTAGGCCCTTCGTCTTGGCAAACCATCGGAATCGGACACTTCCATTTGCTTAAGTCCCCTGGAAAAAAACATGTTTCCAGTTGTGATAGATTCCCTTTCAAACTAGGTACCCAAAATGGGTTGCCCTAATTAATGGACTGAACTAAAACCAGCGGTCCACCTCCTGGTGGCTTAATTTTGACCCCCCAATGGAATCCAAAAGGAACCAACCCATGTTAGGGCCCCCCCATTCAGCAACCCATGTTAGGGCGCAACCCATGTTAGGACAATATGTTTTTCCAGCAAATGGGTGTGGGTCAAAACTAAACCACCACGCAAGTTTTAGTCCATGTTTCCATTTATTAGGGCAACCCATTTTGGGTACCTGTTTTTGACCCGCAGCCAAATGGAAAAGAAAAGCGAATCCGGATCCATCCGTCCGGGGCGCCAGCCCAGCGCCGCCCCCACGGCGCCCACCAAGACCTCCGCGCTGCGGAAGTAGGCCGCCTGCGACCACGAGACACGCGAGCACGCGGCATGGCAGTGCCGACAAGTAAGGCCTTCCCACTCCAAAAAACCAAAGACTTGTTGACACCTCTCGTTCTTTACCAGTTGATATCAGTTTATTTATTTATTTTTAAAAAAAAGTTGTCATGGTGAATACGTACTTTCTTAGTCAGTGGTTGACCTCATACCCTAAAAGCAGTGGGTATCTGGAGTAGGGGGAAGGCCTTGACGATTCAAGGAGTGGTGGGGTTCTTGTCTTTTCGGCCATGATCAAATATCGACCGAAGGGGAAAACAGGTCAGTTGCGGAAATTGTTTGACCATGGATGATAGAAACTTAAATCAACAAAAAAATCCTACCAACCCCCCTTAAGGGATAGAGGTCCATAGGCCTTATGAAGGGGACAGAGGCAACAGGCCTTCACGGTTGGAGTCAGGGGCCGGGCCCCGGAAAACCGTGGCCTTCCAAAAGCGGTGTCTGTTTGTGAGTAGAGTGCACTGTCTACCCTAAATTCAAAAATATGTTCGGGGAAGACCTGGGTTGCAGCCGTGGTGACCTGTCACTTAGTCAAATCGATGGCAATGGTCATGATACTTCGGACCCAAACATTGCCGTCTCGTAAATGGCCAAAAAAGAGACACCTCTAATTGAGGACCCCTGTAGAGTAGACCGAGTAGCGAGATCCCCAGACGCCAAACAACTACAGGGAACAACTAAACTCAGGAATCCGCAGCCGTGACAACTCCAAAGTCTTGAGCCCCCCTGTCCACGTCGAGCCCGATCGCATAAAAAAGGCACCTGCTGCAAGAGCGGCCGTTGCTCCAGGTCATCCAACGCCCGCCACGCCTGAGATGGCCAAGACGCTGCCTTCTCTGTGCCACCGACTGCTTGATTGCTTTGAAACGGAACTTAGGTACACAGAAAGTTGCCCCAAAGTTCTATGCTCCACAACCACGGGCCAATGAGTGGCCAAACAGGTCCATTGAAAGACTTCGCTCCAGTTACTCTGGCCTCGAGTTTCCATAATAGAGAGGTAAAGGTCACATTCGGTCGACTTGCTTTGGCCAATTTTATACCAACAATGACACAAGTATCAAAAGGTGGGTTCGGAGGAAGAGCCCACCCAAAACAAAGGCAAGATAAACACCCAACTGAGATTCAATAGAAGCAAAGGTACAGGCTTGATTCAAATGACAGTAGAAGCAAAAAGTGTCCATGCTGATCTGCTTCATGACAAGTGCCCATCTTGTGTGCATGCGGCACATGCGGTTGATGTTTGTTTCATGTGGGGGGTTTCCAAAAAACCGGGGACCCAAAAATTGACCCAAACAACAAGTGGTGATTTCTGAGTGTCTTCCCTTCAAACAACATCCAATAAGGAGATCCAAGTGCAGTCGAGAATAGTGGATGAACGTTCTGTCGCAACAAAAGCGAAGTACCCCCCTCTTTAAATGAGACCCGTGTCTGCTACTACAATGATGCACAGTTTCATTGGTATTAATTGTTCAACTATTCTCAACCCAGCCTCGCTTAAATGGAACTCCCCCTATGAATGAAGTTAATTTGTTGTATTGATGTTGTTTTAGCTGTCATTGTGTTCCTTTGATCGCTACTCAGTCGCTTTCTCATATATCAGGTTACGACAATTTCACCTTGGCTCGACTGGCCGACCTCGGCCGCCGCTTTGGGGCGCATCCGAGCCGCCGCCTGGCCGCTTTGTGCCAGCGGCGCCAGCGCCGCTTCCGTCAGATTGGCCCAGCCAAGGAAGGAGCGGCCGTGGGCGAAGGCGCGCTGAATGACCAGCACTCGGACGGCGCCTGCGCTTCAAACGCGAAGAGAAGGGCTTGCGTGGGTGTGGTGTGGTGTGGTGGTGTGGTGGTGTGTTGGTGTGGTGGTGTGTTGGTGTGTTGGTGTGTTGGTGTGTTGGTGTGTTGGTGTGTCGGTGTGTCGGTGTGTTGGTGTGGTGTTGGTGTGTTTGGGTGTTTGTGTGTTTGTGTGTTTGTGTGTGTGTTTGTGTGTTTGTGTGTTTGTGTGTTTGTGTATTTGTGTGTTTGTGTGTTTGTGTGTTTGTGTGTTTGTGTGTTTGTGTGTTTGTGTGTTTGTGTGTTTGTGTGTTTGTGTGTTTGTGCGTTTGTGCGTTTGTGTGTGGGTTTGTGTGTTTGTGTGTTTGTGTGTTTGTGTGTTTGTGTGTTTGTGTGTTTGTGTGTTTGTGTGTTTGTGTGTTTGTGTGTTTGTGTGTTTGTGTGTTTGTGTGTTTGTGTGTTTGTGTGTTTGTGTGTTTGTGTGTTGTGTGTGTTTGTGTGTTTGTGTGTTTGTGTGTTTGTGTGTTTGTGTGTTTGTGTGTTTGTGTGTTTGTGTGTTTGTGTGTTTGTGTGTTTGTGTGTTTGTGTGTTTGTGTGTTTGTGTGTTTGTGTGTTTGTGTGTTTGTGTGTTTGTGTGTTTGTGTGTGTGTGTGTTGTGTGTTTGTGTTGTGTGTTTGTGTGTTTGTGTGTTTGTGTGTTTGTGTGTTTGTGTGTTTGTGTGTTTGTGTGTTTGTGTGTTTGTGTGTTTGTGTGTTTGTGTGTTTGTGTGTTTGTGTGTTTGTGTGTTTGTGTGTTTGTGTGTTTGTGTGTGTGTTTGTGTGTTTGTGTGTTTGTGTGTTTGTGTGTTTGTGTGTTTGTGTGTTTGTGTGTTTGTGTGTTTGTGTGTTTGTGTGTTTGTGTGTTTGTGTGTTTGTGTGTTTGTGTGTTTGTGTGTTTGTGTGTTTGTGTGTTTGTGTGTTTGTGTGTTTGTGTGTTTGTGTGTTTGTGTGTTTGTGTGTTTGTGTGTTTGTGTTTGTGTTGTGTGTGTTGTGTTTGTGTGTGTGTTTGTGTGTTTGTGTGTTTGTGTGTTTGTGTGTTTGTGTGTTTGTGTGTTTGTGTGTTGTGTGTTGTGTTGTGTGTGTTTGTGTGTGTTGTGTGTTTGTGTGTTTGTGTGTTTGTGTGTTTGTGTGTTTGTGTGTTTGTGTGTTTGTGTGTTTGTGTGTTTGTGTGTTTGTGTGTTTGTGTGTTTGTGTGTTTGTGTGTTTGTGTGTTTGTGTGTTTGTGTGTTTGTGTGTTTGTGTGTTTGTGTGTTTGTGTGTTTGTGTTTTTGTGTGTTTGTGTGTTTGTGTGTTTGTGTGTTTGTGTGTGTGTTTGTGTGTTTGTGTGTTTGTGTGTTTGTGTGTTTGTGTGTTTGTGTGTTTGTGTGTGTGCGTCTGTGTGTGTGTGTGTGTGCGTGTGCGTGTGCGCGTGGGCGTGCGCGTGTGCGTGTGCGTGCGCGTGCGTGCGTGCGTGCGCGTGCGCGTGCGCGTGGGCGTGGGCGTGGGCGGGTGCGGGTGCGGGCGCGCGTGCGAGTGAGCGTGGGCGTGGGCGTGGGCGTGTGCGTGTGCGTGCTTGTGCGTGTGCATGTGCATGTGCGGGTGCGCGTGCGCGTGCGCGTGGGCGCGGGCGGGTGCCGGTGCCGGTGCGGGTGCGGGTGCGCGTGTGAGTGCGTGTGGGCGTGTGCGTGGGCATGTGCATGTGCGGGTGCGCGTGCGCGTGGGCGTGCCCGTGCGCGTGCGCGTGGGCGTGCGCGTGCGCGTGCGTGTGTGCGGGTGCGGGTGCGGGTGCGGGTGGGTGTGTGGGTTGCTTTTTACATAATCCAGTGGTGCAAACCTAGGGAGAGAGATGGGGAAGATATGGTGCCTAAAAATAGGGAACCCAAAATGGAGGAACCCCCCAAAATTGGCCCTTTGGCTTCCAGGGTACTACGGATGTGTGTTTTGTAAGGGGTCAGCCAGGGGGTCAATTCACCCATCTGATGTTTGGGAGCTTGGGTAAGTTTGCTCAAAGTAGTCCAAATGGCCAGGTTTTATCTGGAAACAGCTCCGACCGAGACAATCCCTTGGGTACACTTCCAGGGGATCTAACAGCAAAACCTTTTGGAAACCTAGGGGGCCTCGCCAAGACCCTGAGAGTGTGTTGGGCCATCAAGGAAATCTCGGACTAGATGAAGCCTTGCTTGATTCGAAGGGTAAATGTGGGTGTGTCTTTTCTTGAGGGTACACCGTTTCGGCTTGGGTTTCAAGGGGAACCAAGAGACAAGCACCCATTTTGGGGGTCCCCAAATTAGCAAACAACCCCAAGTATACCAAAAAAAAACCACGAGTCCCAGGGACGCCGTGGGGAGCCTTGGGGTTCCCTTGAAACATCCTTTGAGGAAAGCGAATTTCCTGGAAACATAAGCCGTGAGGTGGATCGTGTTCATTCCCCAACTGCTTATCCAAATCTGCTGTCAAAGGGTGTAAGGAAAAATATGACAGTGGCTCAAAAATTAAAGAGCTAACGCAGGTTTTGCTCCATGTTTCCACTAACCAGGGCAAGCCATTTCGGCACCGGCTTTTTGAGCCATACCCGTATCTACGAAGAAAACGCCGTGCAACAGTTCCATCACCTGTGCAGCACCAACTCTGGGGCCGCTTGCAAGTCCTGGCCTGAACTCGCCGAGCCCATAGCTCGCTGCCAGAACTTGGCAGCCATGGCGTCCTTGGAGCGGTGAGTGAGTCGCGGACAGCCGCGGTGATACGCCGCTTGGAAAAGCGCTCAACGAGGACAGGCAGGGTTATTAAGTAAAGCCCTTAGTTGGGGGCTGGATAAGCCATCCCAGATTCGCCCACTTGACAAGCCAGGTCGATAGCGATTGACAGCCCTGCATGGACCAGCAATTCCCTGGTTGATCCTTCTTTTTCTTCTTGGGGGAGGGGATGCATTTTTGAGGGCATCCTTGTTTTGGGGAAGCACCTAGAACATATTGGCAGTTTTCTAAAAACCCCGCGATAGGCCCTGATAGGCCATCAGCGCATACAAGGAGCTCACAGAGACCAACAACCGAACGACCACACCAACAAAGCAACAAGCACAAACACGTGTTCGGGATAAAACCAAGTAAAGGCCCATTCAAGTAGGTCAGAACTCCATTTCCAAGTATACTGGGTTGGTGGAAAGGACCCCAGCCGGAAAAAAAACAAAAAACAAAACGTTTCCAACCGCCACACCTGGGCCCAAGGCTCCATCTCCTTGCCGTGCAGGTCACCCAAGGCCTCCTTAAACCTAAGATAACAGCTTGCAGGTTGAGAAGCCGAAAGGCAAGCCTTTTGTCCGGCAAAGCATATGGGGCATTTCGTTCTTTGGGGAACCCGTTAGTGTTGGTGTCTAAAGGAAACACAACGGGGAACTCGAGAGTTCAAAGCCACGCCAAGTCTGGCCAGAAAGGGTAACCGTGTTTGATTGGAAAGGAAAACCCCTCCCAAAACAAGGAACCAAGGGTGGAGCCCACTGGGATCCCACTGGCATTGGCAGTGGGAAGGCACCCAACAAAAAAAGAAAGCATGCGCAAACCGGGAAGCAAGGCGAAGTAACCAGCTCAGAATCCCTTTTTGGCGTTTAAGAGCTCGATTGTTTGGTTACCCTCCCACCTAACATGGACGTGCACAAAACCCCTTTGCAAGAGGAAAGTCGTCTCGAGGGCTCTGTGCATCAAACCGCGTTTGTCGGTTTGTTTGGTTGCCCTCCCTTCCACCAACATAGCACCTGTGGGAGGGTACCTGGAAGATAATCTTCCTCTTGTTGGCACCCCTTGTCAGGTGCCATGTTAGTCGCTTTGTTTTGTTTGCTTAATGGTAACCCCGGAATAATAAACCCCTGGTTGATTAATAGGGGGGTGTCCCCTTTTGGTGGGGATTCAGACCACTTTAGGAGGGAACACCCCCCTAAATCATGGGACGGGTTTCTTAATCCTGGGTCAACATTACCCGATGGCTTACCTGAGTCATAATTAAAACCCGATATTGAAATGGTCTACCCAGACCCATGCTTCAAGAATTCAGAAGGCGGATATCCACAGCTCTTTATGGCTGCCACTATCCCTTAGTAACCTCCATCTACCCGTGTTTTGATTGTGACTCAAATGGAATCCAAAAGGAACCAACCCATGATTAGGCGCCCCCTATTCTGACAAACACCGAGTTAACCCCACCATGGCCAGTTCAGGCGCTCAAAATTACCCGAAGCTACCTGCAGCTGGCACTCACGAGCCCACGACTTGGCCACGCAGCATCGCCACATCCTCCGCCTTCACCGCCGTGCGGTGCCGCAGCTCCCGGTCTGCGCGCATCTCCGCGTGGCCTCAGCAGGGGCGCGGCGACGTGCGAGTCGCTTGGCACCCGGAGGTATTCCTGAAATTTGCATGAGCCATCGTCAACATAGATTTGTCTTCGTCAAGGAGGTTTTTATGTAGTTGTTGTTTTTTGGCGGGGACCCAGAGGTGTCCCTGAAATTTACACCCGGGATCCGTTTCTTCTCAGAAGAAAATGTGAGACTCAGCGTGGCACGAAGCACGCCAGGGTCAAAGTAGATGGTCATTGTTGCGCGGCAACCCACCAAACAAAAAGGGATTTGGACGTTGGGGCTCAAGTGGGGCACTTCCCAGGGGAAAGGTTTGAAAAGGAACACCAAAAGGAGCAAACCGAGAGGCCTCTTAATTTCGAGAAGTGGTTGTTCGATGTTAAACCCACTATAGCATGGATATGAGTGAGACACCGTGTTGGTTCATGAAAATAGCAAAAAACTAAAAGTAAAAAAACAAGTTTAAAAGTACTAAAGTAAATCACTTGACATAGATAGAACATGCCCATTCTTTCATCCACCATGTACTTGCCAACAAAGTCTTCTCTCACTCCCTTCGTTCATTGCATTCACCTCTTGGCTCTCTTTTCCTAGTCATTGGGCGAGGAAGACTTTGTGGGGAACAACTCGTCAGAAGGATTGGTTGACCGCCAAGATTCGTTGGGCATGGCTCAGTTCATATCTCATCCTTTGGCTCACCGAACGTTGACCCGGCATTATTTCCTCTGTTGGGTTCTTCTGCTTCTAGCTACCCCATATTAAGTAACCAACCAGTTTACTAATACGGGTGCATGATTCCCTCGTTTGGGATACGCTTCTAATGACCGCAATTGAATCAACCAACCAATTTATTCATAGGGGTGCTTCTCCCTGGGTGAAACATGACTTTCGGAGGGGCCCCCACCCCCTAGTAATAAACTGGTGTTGATTAATATGGCCATGGGTCAAAATCCCGTACCCCCAGTGACATCCCAATCCCCACTAAAATAAACTAAAATGGGTGGTGCACCTACCCCTAAAATGGTACCATTGGTTTTGACCCAACATGATTGGCCCAAGCCGCCCCAGAGCAGCACCTCAAAGCAGCGCCGCTTCACCGAGTGCAGCAGCACCGGCGGGGCAGAGGTGAGCAGCCGCAGCATCGGCGCGTGCCTGAGGCGTGGGATCCCAAGGCGTCTCCTCCATGGTGTCGTCCCCTGGAAAAATGAAAAATATGTCCAGTGCTAGATTCCCTTTAAAACCGACAGGGGACAGTTAAAACGTATTCTTCACCTAAGTGGAAGTTCTCTTTGGGGTTTTACGGTTTACGGTCTGGGCACATGTCTAGGGGTACCCTGCAATTCCATTCTTTCCAGGCATCCTTCTTTCTAAAAAACCACCCAAAGGGACATTGCTGATTTTTGTGAAAAGAACGATGTTTGAAAATAATGAGGAATTAACCCCTAGAAGATCATGTTTAGTTCACCAATTGCTGTGGCTCAAAATTCAACAGCTGGGGTTACGCAGGGTTTAGTCTTTGGCTCTATTTACCAAGGTGCCATTTTGGTACATTTATTCTGAGCCATAGCCCAATCTCTTCTTTCGCATTGATTCCAATCCGCGTCTTTCCCGGCTACGTATTGCTGTGCCGAAAGCACAAACCAATCGAACATGAGGGATTCCTATGAAGAAACCTTTGTGATGAGTGAAGTTGCAACTACCCTAGTGACGTCGTTGGTAAAAGCTTGCATAGGGTTGACATTCAGTAGTGGTATACCTAAACTTCCCTCGGGGGTAGCGTTTTGAAGAACGGGAACCCTCAGGGGAAGCCCACAACTCGTTTCACTTGAGTGGATTGACCAGCAACCACTTCTATGCACCGAAAATCAGCTGTCGATCGTTCCTTGGAAACTCAGTTCATCACTCCAATGCGGACCCCAAAACTCAAAAAGGGCCCGCCAATGAAGAACCCATACTCCACTTCTTCGTGTTGCTTGAAAACCCGACCTTTTGAGGGCCCCGAAACAATCACGGGCCTTCAAACAGGACTCATGAATTCTGAGTCCTCATACCTCCCGGCCATCCACGGACCCACCTACTGGCTGCGGAGCCGGCCTCACCACCCACTGCTCGAACCTCTGCATCTGTTCCGCCTGCTGTAGCTCCTTCTCCACCTCTCCGAGTCCGACCCTTGAACCCCACCCTCGCCTCACGCCTCATGCTAGGTCCCAGGTGCATTTTGCGGAAAAGAGTACATGGCACTGACCAAACTGACGCTCTGCAACCCAGCCAACCCCCAAGGACAGGTGTGCAACCGCCTCATTCTGGGCTGGCTCCAGCTCGTCTTCCCGGAAGAGGTAGGCGTCAAAGAGCAACATCAGTAGCCTCGCTTGCTTTACCAAGAAACACAAAGAAACAAAAAAATAGGCACGCTAGCATTTGGGGGTCTTTGGAGGAGGGTTGGTCTAGTCCCCGAGGGAAAGAAAAGGAACATCAGCGGATTAACACCACCAACCCAGTCATTCCAGGCAATCAATTCAGATTTTAACAAGATGTTCCCCCCTGCTCACTTCTGGGTGGAGGCACCAGGTGAACAACAAAAGATCAGAAGCACTAAACTAGGGGGGACCCTCAAATGATGGGAGAAGAGGGGGATTCTGCAAACCATCCATAAAGAGGGGTCTCTGATGACTCTGATTTGAGAAAGTCAGTCAGATTTGGGCAATGCGTTCTGTTTGTACATTACGCCCTCTCCTGAAAGCAGCATCTGTGACTTGTGAAGTAGGTGGACAAGGGGTATCCTCATGTGAGTCACAATCAGCACCATGTAACAAAACATGGGCCAACGGGCGGAAATCCACACCTATTCATGATTGGGACATTCTTTTATGTCCTTCTTCCCATGCATTTGTGGCTCATAGCTCATGTGATACCGCTCTTTGCCAGCTGCAACTGAGCAGCACGTTTCGCGGCTGCGTCCGTCTTCGCGCCAGGCGTGCTACCGCAGGCACCAGCCAGTGCAGGTTGTGCCACACGTTGTCCCCGCTCTCCGGCAAATTCAGCACCTTTGTCTCGAAATCGGCGATTTTCAACTGGAGACCTTGGGTGTATGTTATTTACATGGGATTTATGTCCAACCACTTCTGAGGCAGAAATTAGTACGATTCCTTTCTCGGAGGTTGTGTTGGAGGTTTCTAACCTGGTCTCAAAATAGGTACCCTCTTCTCCAAATACCCGTGTCATTTTGTCAGATGTTTATATCATACCCCAAAAGGGGGTGTCTTAAAATAAGCATGTCTGAAAATGCTAGGGATCCCGCATCCATATCCGCAGTCGGTATTTCCAACAAATGAAACCCGGCATAAGTATGCATGGACGCGTAGGGGGGCTGGGGGGGGGGCTGTCCATGGATTTGCCTGGGACAAGCCCTTAATAAGGGAAAGCCCCTCTCCTCAGTTCCCCTCCCCAAAAGGTCCATGAAGGATTAGTAAATTTGGCATGTCTCTGAATGAAACATATCCCTCGAGGTTGGCCGAGTGGTTAAGTACCCCCCCTTCACCCCAATTTATCCCCCAATTTAGGTCACTCGGATCCGTGAGTTATACTGATTCAGTCCAAAAAAGCACCATCCTATGAAAGGAACCTTCATGGGCGAGGAATCATTGTGAGGTCGCGATTTGACATGCCCAGCTAAATGGTCCGGGCCAGCACCCTCCGACTACTGCCCAGGGGGCAGTAGAGAGAAATTTCCCAAAAACGACCGTAGTTAGAAAAACTACTGTCAATTATGTTATTTGCGGGATGCCCATAGTCTAACTACTGCTAGCTACTGCTTACAGCGGGGAGATGCCATAGCAGGGGTGGTAGCAATTAAGGGGTGGCAGCAAGTGTAGCAAGCGCCTCACAACGTATCACCCCGTGTCGCCTGCGTGTCACCCCGTGTAGCCCCCGTGTCGTCCCCGTGTCACCCCGTGTCGCCCCCGTATCGCCCCCGTGTCAGTATGCTAGAACAACAGTAGATCGCTGCGAACAACAGTAGTTTTAGCGTGTCACCCCGTGTTACCTGCGTGTCACCCTGTGTCGCCCCCGTGTCGCCCCCGTGTCGCCCCGTGTCACCTGCATGTCACCTGCGTGTCACCCCGTGTCGCCTGCGTGTCACTTTTACTCTTTGGGACAACGTGAAACGACCGTAGATAGGGGATCTACTGCCTTTTATTTTATTTTCGGAAGTACTGCCAAATACCCGGTAGTTCCGAAAATAAAACTTAGACGGTAGTCGGAGGGTGGGGACAATCGCCAAATGTTCATTGTAAGATCGCGTACCAAGGGTCCCAACAGCGGCATGGGGCTCCAGGGTTCCGGGCGAACCCCCCGGCTCCGAGCCGGAGAGGCAAACCTACCACCTGGCCTAGTTGGGCAAAGCACGTTGTAAGCCCCTAAAGCTAAATCGCTCTGCAAGCGGGCCCCAAACCGTCTAATTGGTGCCATCCGGTGCTCCAGTAAAAAAAAGAAGGAACAGGCTCTCTTGGGGACCTTCACTTTGGTGGCTCCTCTACCCCGAAAAGGGTCATCAGCCCCTGGAAGCTGACGGGAACCTCGAACATCTACATCGAATGTGCCATGGCTAAAAGGGTGCTTGGGGTACAACCTCAACATGATGACAGTTCAAACAAACCAGCACTAAAATGATGCAACACCAAAATGGCCCAAAACTGAAATGGTCCAACCGTCACCAAACACATATGCGGCGGCGGCAACCTACAGCCATTTGCTTCCACAACCATATGGCAGTTGTCTTCCGGAAAATTCCATCTTCGCCAAAAAAAATGTTCGCAACCTCCCTTGCGGGGCTGTCATGGGGCAACACATAAGCATAAGACAAAATGGCGTTCCCCTTCATACGTTGCAAATTAGTAGCCCGGGTACTGTTAGGGACCAATAAACATGCGGATACGCCGGCTACCTTTATCATACGGCCCCTCGTTTGCAAAAGCAAGCGCTGAAATGCGACGGGGGCACAAATCCCACATGCGCGCGGTCGCTGGTGTCAAGCTCACCTCGGCTGCTCCTTTCTTGCGCTGTTCAAATGATGGCCTATACGAAGGAACAATTTCTGTGTGGACGCCGCTAAAACAGACCAACTTCTTCTTCTGAATAGCTCTTCAATTGGGTCATTTTGGGGCAACCAGAGACAAGGAATTCCACGAGTTCAAACAGACATCTGCCAGCTTGCATCACATCTTCAAAATTCACTACAATTCCAAAAGTATTTCTTTAAGGGATTCCCGAGTAAATGTAAAAAGAACCTTTATCATGGTGAGCTCGCTTCACCCCCGAATCGGTGAGCTCGCTATAGGCAGGTCACATGACAACCATAGCACCCGTTTAGCTCAACGCCCAAAGAGCCCAGCACAACCTGGAGAGAACCATTCCATGTCAATGGATAGTGACTTACCAGGAATTGGTTTCTTAGAAAATTGACAGAAGAGTTTAAGTCCCTCTTGGCATTGACCAAACTGATTGAGCTTTCGCCCCACCCAAGAGTTTGAATCTGGTCCATATTTAGTGAGGAAACATCCCACAAATCACATCGTTGTCAAGAAACCAGCCCCCAACGCCGCCAGATCCCGTTTGAAACAAATGGACCGACGCAAAACTGCCGTCTCCATGCGAAGCGGCGTACCAGCCGCAGCGGGTGCCGGTTCCTTCCGGTCTCCGAACAGCTCTGGAGATGCTCCGGCGCCGAAAGCGGCGCACTTTGACCTGGGCTGAGGCACGACCCGGCAAGCCACGACCCAGTTGAAATGGCTGGCTTCCTTTTGGGCTTCCTTTGACACAACCGCAAAAAGGCCCCCCTCAAAGAAAAAAACAAAGAAACAACACACACCTCTGGCAGTAGTGACCCAGTTTGACCCAGGCTTTGAGGTTCACCATTTAGAAAGCGGGACGGCCGCTGAAACATCCAAATGGCAACCTATGGCTTGCTGGTCCTGCTGCTTGCGGAGGGGCATCTTGCAAGTTGTAGAAGGCTGACCCCCGGCTCACAAGGATGGGTGGTGTTTGTATTTCGTGCTCCTTCAAAGAATGTCAAATGAGTCCCCAAAAAATTGGCTGGACACCCGAAATGTGACGTTGAAACCCCACCAAACGAAACGTGTGAGGAATCCTGCCATACACTGCCCGAATGAATTTGTCCACCGGGCGTCGGACCGTAACCACGCCCTCCACGACGCAGGCATCGGAGAAATCAAAGGTGCACTCGACCTGACTGCGTCCACATATGAAGCCTTCGGTAATCCCAAAAAAAGGAACCCTTTGGAGGCTTGGAATAACGAGCCAAATTGCCAAACAACTAGGCGTTCATAGCAGGAGTTCTTGATCATGGGTTAATACAAATATAGCCTTTGCACTTTGTGAGCAAGACACAGCCACACCGTGTGGCGGTCCTTGCTGTTGATCACATAAGACATATTACAAGCAAAGCAGCCACACACCATGGCATGACTGAAAACGATATCCTCTTCTACGACTTGCTCCATGCATAGATGCGTCTGAAATGTATGCTAGCTCTTCCCGAAATCCTTTTCCAACAACCATGAAAGTGTGCGGCCCTTTTTGAAACGGAGCCGGTGCACCAAGCCATGTTTCTTGGTGAGCGAGTAGACTTTGGGGCTTCCCCCCAAGTGCTGTTTCCGCCTTCCCTCAAACACCATTCCCTGGTTGTTTGCAGGCCCCAGTTGAAATGGCCAGAACGCAAATGAAGCTCTAACACGGATTTGCCAAGATCTGGATCCGTTAACGCTGAAAGCACCTCCCTCGTTTCACATAGAAACTGCGGGAAACAAGGCAGCGCCCAACACCCCTTGATGTGTGGATTCTACATATACTCAGGTGTAGGCCTGATAAAATCCTCAATTCACCAGGTGGCAGTTTGCTTGTTGTGGGCATCCCCCTTTGGAAGGCCAAACAACAGGGAGAGGCTCCTCTAGTCCAGGTGATGTTTCAAGGGCCAAATCTGGAGCCCTTGTATGTTGCGAGTGCGGTGTACTGATCCAGGGGTCACCGGGCTCCCAGTTGCACATCCATTTCTCAGGATTGGGAGTCCACCGTGCACCCAAAGGAATCCACCCCACAAGGAGGCCATTCGTCCTTCTGGGTTCAATTCCAAATCCAAACCACGGATGCCTGAGAAAACATCCTGAGATTTTGAAACAGAACGCCCACAGGCCATGAAGCGCTTCCGGAACGGGGACTCCCCTGATTTTCAGTAGGTCCACCCCCCTCAAAAAAAAAACAATCTAAACCACCGACTCAGAGTTATGATTTTCAGTGGGTCGTCCACCGCCCCCAAACAAACACATGGCGTGTGGACTCCATCCCCGCGAGCGCCCCACGCCTCGCTGGCCGGGGCTGCCAGCGGCGAGGGGCGCCACAAGAGGCGGCCGTATGCCTCTGGGCCTAAGACGGCGCAGTGCTCCGTCTGTAGCTGCTGCCCGAAGCCTCAGCTGGCAAAATGGGCGGCTGGGTCAAAACCCCGGTTGGCCCCCAGTGAACATCCGATTCAATCCAACCACCAAAATAGGACTAAAATGGGTGGTGAATTCACCTACCCCCATTTTGGGTACCATTGGTTTTGACCCACAGCCAAATGGGCTGCTGTCTCTCTTCTTTTTTTGGGGGTCGAACCCCCCAAAATGGTGGCGTTCCCTTGGTGTTCCCCTTAGAAACGAACAAAGGCTTCAACCCTCAAAAGAAGACCCACCCAAATGAAGGAGTCTCGAAAGGGCGATAAGGTTGGTTAACTTGTCTGGCTGCAAGGCAAGTTGGGATTGAATCTGCTACACTTGAAATAAGACATGGATGCAGCAAAAACATGGCTCGTCTTATCTACTGAGCTCGCCATTGCAGCCAGTCTACCTGAGCCTGCTTACAGTGAATAGCCCAGAGAGTGGCCACCGAAAGCTACTGAACTAGACGATCAGTTTGCGACCTAAAATATGATAAGATATGAGACGGACAAGATTGCAGATGTTCAAAGACATAAGGAAATTGGATTCCCCCCGACTTTTGTGGGATGCTTGGGGTGTTCGTCCATGTCCTGCCTAAACCAAGAGAAGACTATACCAACATGGTTCACGGTCGCTCATATGACTGACATGTATATTATGTTACAACTCCGTTTGGAAGAAACACAGAACCTCTACGGATAGCTTCCCATTGCCATTCAGACATACTTTCCAGAAAACTACACAACACTTAGGCAAATACCTCATGATTCAAAAGTTGACAACAATAGGGAGATCAACCTACCCAATTCGTCCAAGCAAGCATACGTTTAATGTGGCCCATATCTAGCGACACTTGCGATGTAGAATCAGTTCGAAAGAGATCCCAGCAACCTATCACGGCTTGGGCCATCCCATATTCAAACATGTTTACACAACTGTTTAAACAGCCTCCTTGTGGTTTCCCGAAAATAAGGGAACCAAGGGTTGATTGAACACACTTAAAAGAATAACTGGGGAGCCTGTGGGGCTTTCCTTAGATGTAGATTTATGTCCACCAAGCAAAGTAAAGGGCTTCCCTATTTATTGAAAATTGTTGTTCTACGTATACATGGGTGTATATATATATATGTGTGTATGTGTATATATATATATGGACAAGGAAACCACGAGAAACCAAGGACATCAAGGGACCACAAAGAGGACATGGGTGTGTCGTTTTCGAGGGCTCCCTTTTTGGGCTGCATCAAAGGGAAACAACAAGAAAAACCCTATTTTGAGTCTTGGAGGGTCCCCCTATTTTGAGATATACCCATTTGACAATGTTGCGCGGTTGGTAGTTGCGGTACTTCAGCACTTGAGCTGAGACATGGACGACTTTGGGCAAGTGGTTCTAACTCGGTTGCTTTCTGCTCCCCTGCTAAAAGTGAATAACTTCTAGTGGTTTAATTCGGAAAACCCATTAGTTGGCGAAAAGATAAAGTCCTAACATCTAAGCAAAGTGCACCCAAGCTAACACGGCACACCTCGACCCCGCGACCCATCGCCACTCGACTCGAAGGCGCGGTCCATGGCGTGGCAGCCCACATTCCCCGCCCGCCAGTTGAAGGCCAGCCGCGCGAAGTTGTACATGACGTCCGCCTGGTTCCCCCGTTTTTCCCTGGCGTGCATGAAACCACACCTCGAGTCAATCCCTTCCTGGGCTCAGATCCCATGCAAAATGTTTAACTTGCGGTGGGGGGGAAATGCAAACCCCCACTAAAACATACTAAAGCGTAGAAAACAAAAACACCCAAGGGGACGTATGGAGACTTCTGTGCCTGTTGGCTCGTCATTAGGCCGCCTGCAAACACATGAAGCTGAAAGAGCACTCAAAGGCCAGAGGTCAGTCTGGCAAATAAAATGTGATCTAAGGGCTCACAAAAGTGAAGCGACGTGCCCAGGTCCACAGAAACGAACCAAAACACGCCAACCTTTCATTGAAACACTCCCAGCGTTGCCTGTGATTTGCGCCATGCTGGGTCTAATTCTTTGACATTGCACCTTTCTGCCTAACTCGTCACAGTCAGCCGAATAGATGGCCCGAAGCTCGCGCCACGCCACGCTTGGCCCGAAGCTCGCGCCGCGCCACGCCTTCGTAAATGGCCACTTGGTGTCCTCGAGGCAAGTATCGCTCAACGTCAGCAGCTTCACCTGGCCGCATGTTGTTTGAGGAAATTAAGAAATGACCCGTTGTGGGTTCTTCTAGGGAATGGTTGGGAAGTTCATTCTGGGTGTCTTCTTAGAGTTGGTACCCAAAAGGGGCTTTGTCAAAGAAGCCAGATGGAAACAATGAGGCGAGAAAACTGCAAAACAAAGTTAGCCAACTTCTACCCCCCCCCCCACAAATACCCCTTATTGAAGGGTGATATTCTGAAGTAGGGGGTAGCTCATGCCCAAGGATCATGGAAGTGGCCTCCTTGAAGCCTTCAGTACTAACCCACGCGGACACTTGGGACATGACTTCTTTGCCCAACTCCGTACAGATTAAAACATAGGTCCTGTTTCATATATTGGTCGGCTTCAGTATGTCTCAAATGCGAGGAGTTGTGCCATTATCAACCCTGGAGTTGGAGTCCATTGACATTCGGAAGATGTCGCAAGCCCCAAACAAAGATGGCGCTAAAACGGTTTCTGTTTTGGTGCTCTATTGTCAAACATGGGGCCCCGAACAAACTGGTGGTTCCATGTGGTTTCCAAACTGGATATATGTTTTGGCCTCCCACCAAAAAAAAACAAAAACGCATGCACACACCCGGATTAACTTGCAAGAGAGTATAGGACTCTCCAGTTGCTCGCATGACAGACCTTAGCATCTGGCCACACCCAGCACCCGGCATCCGGCTGCGTCGCAAAATAGGGGAGTCCCGAAATAGATGGCTTCATGAATAGGTTCCCCTTACAAGCTACCATCGGCCCAATGTGGTCCTGTTGCCGACGCCCTTGATTGAAATCAGTCTGGCCTGGCATGCCTCCAGGAAACTAGGACGACTTTTCGGGAGAATGTCCACCTTTGGGGGCCTTTTTGCACCTATTTGCATTGAGGTCGCAAGAACAGAAACGCCGGATATTCCCCTTCCCAATGGCCCCTGAGAATACTTCCCCCGGATCGCTGGGCTTCCTCGCCATCATCTCTGCGGTGTTGAGGCTGCCGGCCACCTTGCCACTCAGCAGCCAGCGCTGCAAACACACCAAGTTCTCCATGAGTGCCCCTGGCAGGTGGGAAATGGGAAATGCTGGGAACCGCATGGGCAAGGCACCACAAGGGCCATTAAAAAAATACCCAAAAAAACATGGGGTTTGCGTGGATTATTGGAAGACCAAATTTGGCCGTGATGATAAGAGTCACCTAGTTGTATTAGCTGAATCCTGTATTGCTTCCTACGGTCTAGGCTGGTTTTGCGTGGTGAAGCTGCCATTTCTCACACGGCGGTTTTAGTCCACATTCAGAGCGTTGAAAAAACGAAAAGAAGCTGCCAGCTGAAAAGGAGGGCCCTTTTTAAGAGCTTAACGCAGGCTTGGCATGTACTTTTGGACTCGGAGCCCTTGGGTTGGTTGAAGCCAACAGAACCCAAAGGAAAATCACAAAATTAGGGGACCCCTGATTCTTCCCCCACCACATGGTCCTGCTTTGCGCGAAGGCTCCATGATCCCAACCTAGGGTGTGTGCTTCCTTGAGGGTTGCCCTTCTCAGGTTGGTTCAAGAGGAAACCCACCGGAAAATCGCGATGGTTGGATATATTTGGGGTCCACCTCTCTCCTCCGGCCCTTTTCCCGCACCTGGCAGGCAGGCGGAATGCTTGGCATAGGAGGAGAAGATCCGCTGGAAGTCCTCTGATTTGATGTCGACATGTCTTCAAAGGCGACGTCAACCAAGTGGCTGATTTCCTAAGTTTTGGGCCTCGAAATGAGGGGCGGAGGGGCAGCCGTTTTCAATACGTCATGGCAAATTAGCATGGAACCCCAAACTCATCTTTTGGAGAAACCTGCGTTTGGGGGACTTCTGTGTGGGTTCCATTTTAGTCTGGAGAGGCTCTTCTTCAGGCTGGTTTCCTTTAGGTTCCCGATGGTCACTGAGCACAAATGGTGATACAATAAAAAATGCAACAACCTCAAATAAAACACATTCCCCTCAGAAAGGAACCTTCCTGGGAGAACATGGTCACTAACAAAAGCCCTTGGTCAAGTCGCACTCGTGATAGGCTCAACCCCCCCCCTTCCCCCGCGGCAAGTCCCCTTACATGTCCCCAAACGGGAGGTTCCTCCCAACATGTCCCCTACCACGGGCCTGCCGTGAAAGTGGAGCCCGTTTGTGGATCTCCATGGGCCAGTCGCTCGTTTGACCCCGGATCAGTGAACTAGTGGACGGAGAACCCTTGTCTGAGGAACCCCCCACAACAGAGCATCTGTGTAATAGGGGAGCCACTCCGGATTAGTACGGTGCTCCTTTTGATGAATCCGAAGCTAGCGTTTCTTCGTTGGCAACGGCGATTCTTCTTCATGGTTGTGGTAGCTTGTCACTTTGGGGATCCAATTGGTATCACAGCAAGTAGCCTGAGTCTCATTTGGGCTCTCAAAGGGACCCCCCCCAAAAAGAAAGAAAGAAAGAAACATGTAGCTTCCTTTTGGTTTCCCCTAAAGCAAGCGAAAATGGTTCCCCGCAACAAAAAGACTCACCCATTCCCCACATCCGTGCCCATCCTTCTCGAGCCACTCTTCACAGTACTCGGCTGCCTTCGGCCGGCGGAGTATTTGGCTGTGGGTCAAAAATAGGTATCCAAGATGGGTTGCCCTGGTGAGTGGCAACATGGACCAAAACCTGTGGTCCAATTCCTGGCGGTTGCATTTGTCAACTTCTATGCGTACCCAAAATGGCACCCTGGTAAGTGGAATCAATGACTAAAACCTGTGGTCCACATCCTGGTTTAATTTTGACCCATACCCATTTGACTATTGGCCAACCTGCATAGGCCAAATGGACATACCCAAAAAAAATACTGACAATGCATGGGCTAAACGGGGTACATGCCCCAAACATCTATCCCTATATAAGGCCCGTAGGGGCTATGTCCATTTGGGGTATGTAAGTTGGTCCCTGGAAGTTGGGGGCCCTCAGGCTGGCCATCGCAAATATTGCCAGTCAAATACTTCGCCAGAAGAAACCGAGGCAGAGGCAGCACAATCACATTGAAGGGTCAAATTGAAGAGTCGAAACGTGGGTGGTGCCCTTGGTCTTTGCAGGTCAGCCCATGTGCCACCTGCCTGCCTAACGTGTTGCCAGTGACTCGACAATACAGGATTTGGCTTTGGAGCGAGTTGGACCCCCTCCGTTAGGTCTGACTCGCTGCAGAAGTGCCAAGCCTGTTGATGCCAAAGTTCAATCACAAACCTAGGATTTGGATCTCTTCCAGGCTTCCATTCTGGGTACACATGTTTGACCCACAGCCAAATCCCGCTAGAGAAAGGCCCTGGCACAGATCTCCCCATCACGCTGGCCTCCACGACTCGCCTTATCTCGCTGCCCTTGCGCAAAAGCCGCTGGTGCAAGTCTCCCCGACCTCATGGGCTGGGGGGGAGGGAGGGGAGGGAGGGAGGGGAGGGGGGAGGGGAGGGGGGAGCCCCAAAAAACCCTTATTAAGCCCTCGTTAAGGCCTTGTTTGGGGCTTATTTGGGCTCCTGCCAAACAAAGACTCACCAAATGAATTGACCCTTCCTGTTCAGAATCACATCCTTTAAGGCTTTAAGGGTGGGAAAAGAGCTCCCTAAATGATACATAATCACATGTGCGACAAGGGGATGTTCTAAATCAGCTAAGTAAACAGGATGCTCAGCATGGAAACACACATCCGGTCAGCAAATTGCCTTGTGAGACCATTCTTTCACTTGGCCCAATCTGCAAGTGAATATGTTCGAATTCTGGTCCACATTTGGTCTGGCCCAAAACCAAAAAACAAACTTTTGGAGTAGACCCCCGCCAGTTTACGGAGGAAACAAAAGACGCTGAGATACCAAGGTTGTTTCTGATTGTCTGCGGCAACTCTCTCCCCCCCAGCCCCAATTGCGACCTGACATGGCCGTGTCTTTTTTGCAAGCCCTTCCATTTGGCTCATGTTGGTGCCTTTGCCTATTTGGTCTGTTGATTTTTTGGGGAGCCTCCTGGTGTTTTATGGGGAAACCAAAAGGAAGCCAACCGGTCGTTATTAGTTTTTGCTTGCTCAGAATAAGATTGCTCCCCTCAAGCGCAAGCCAGAGCGAACCCACCTCTACGGATTGTTACATTCCCCCCTTTAGCATCACCTTGCCAAAGGTAACTCATTTTAAGATGGCGCCCGAAAGCTGACCCAAGGAGGGAATCTCCTTCGGACCCTTGACCTGAACACATGTTCATTTTTGCCATAACTGGGTCGAACCTGTTTTGCCGATCACCCGCCTATGTTCAGAGATGTCTCGAAGAGGGCGTGCATCGTCGTGTGGTAGTCATACGCTTCCACACACGCACAGTAGTCCCGCTCCGGCCAAATTACCTGAGCAACTCCAAACGCACCCTATGTCGCGGAAGGTTGCTTACAAGCGATCTAGCGCTTTGCTTATGCGGCCCGCCCCGTCTTAGCGTATGCGGCAGCCAGCGAGGCATGTCAAGCTTTCGCATTGTCAGCGCTTTGAGCAGTTCCCCTCAAGAATTGCTTGCGCAAGCTCCAGTTTCTATGCAACCGCCACTGTTCAAGACAACGTGGACAACCCTGAAAAAATGATGAGGAATTCTCTCAGGCAAATCAACTGGCGATTTTGTGGTTTCCGGGGTCTTCGTTTTGCAGCGCTCTGGCCGACAACTTTGCCTCGAGAGATCTTGTTGCCTCCAGTGCAGATCAAGAAACGGCTTTTGCCGCAGCCGTGCGAGGCTGTGCAAACCTTACGCGCCTGCTTACGCCTGCTTGCGCTCCTGGACTTGCTTGTGTCCTGCATATCCCACAGCTAAGCCCCTGGCATCCAACAACTCTTGCAAGCAGTCACGAAGCAGAGCTTACGCCGGTGCTTACACAGCATGTTTCTCCAAAAAGTGCTGACACAGGCTTACGCTGTGCAGTGTTGCGCTTATCCGGGGCCTTTCCATGACACGACTCTTGCTTAGCATGTAAAGGGGGGTTTTAGAGCTGCTCACCTACCATACTGCGTTGAGAGACGTCCCTTCAAATAGTTGCATTTGAGATGTTCAAGGGAAACCGAAAGAATACCACCCCATTTTGAGGGGTCGGGAACCACACCAAAGGCTGTGGTGGAGCCAAATCCAACCAGGGAATTTTGGCGTGTAAAGGGGCCGTTCATGGCCCATACTTGCCCCCCCCCCCCCCGTTTTTCTGCGAGTCGAGCAACACGCCACAAGGCCCCGAAGAGGTACCATAGCCGCCGTTCCTGTTGCTCGACTGGCCACCCATCGTAGACCTCCGCAGACACGTTGCCGGCTCGGGCGTAGAGGTCCACCAGTCCATACCTCCGAAGCAATGAAGATGTGCTCTACCTTCTGTGGACACAGGCTGCGTGGTCAACATTCAACCCGAAACCTAGAATTCAAACATGTTTAACAATCATGGGGATAGGGCAAACGAACAGAATGCAAAAACAACACAGTATGGAGGGAGACATAATACGCACGTTGAGTCGGAAGACTCCATGATGCATCATGGCAAAGCCAGCACGGCAAATGCCGCAGTGAAGCTGTATTGTGTGTACAAATGAGTATACCACCGACTCTCAGATAGATACACAGAGGTGTCACCAGAAAATGGAACCAAACATTGACCCAGAATTGGCGTGTCGCGTGTTTGAGGGAGATTTAGTAAGTCCCCTCCATGTCCATCCCCCAACGAAGACACGGTCAAAGCTTGCTATGCCCACTATGGGTAAAATAAGCAGAATTCCACTAGATACTGAGCATAAGCCCAAAGCTTGACCAGAGCGCTTTTTGGGCGTTTGACTTCGACATGAAGCTTAAAGTGTGCCATCTTAGCAGGTAAGCAGAAAATACCCCCAAGAGCATCGGGCAAATCCCTGAAACTGCCAGACATTGGGGGGCTCCCTTCTGGCTCACAGACCAGGATAACAAAACCATCCAAACTGTTGGTGCTGCCACTAAAAGGGTCTCTCCCATTCTAGTACAAAATCCAGGAGGAATTTGGGGAGTGAGTTTCCTTGGGGTTCTCTTCAACCGACCAAAAGGGGGTATGTGAGAAAATCCACGTGCCTGTTCAACACTCCTCTCAAATATAATGCCCAATAAATACCAGGTAAAAGCCGCCCGACAAAGTTGGGCTGGGACCCTCCCAAATTAACCTGTCCTAAGGGGGCTTAAGGGGATCCGATCCCATCCCTCCTTTCAGTGCTCTTCGACCCAGTTCATTGGTTGAGATCTTCACTCTGGTCCCACTTCCCCTCGGCTCACATCGGAGCAAGGGTAGACAGCGTGAAGGCAATGCAGAACTAAAACAATCTGTGCAAACCTGGTCCCTGGTTTGCCAAGATTCTCTCCAAAGGGGTCTTAATCATCACGGTTGACCTGAGACTCAAAATGACCAAGCATGATTAGATAGTGTCCTGCGGGTCTTTGGATCAACACTGGCCATGTTTTAGGAACGGAAGGCACAGTGCTTGTTCGGCCGAGCTAGTAAGTTGTCCGTAAGCTACGTAGAGTGCTGGTGGCTCACCCAGGTGGCTATCCACTTTCTTTCTATCTTGGCCGAACACCCTGCGTGAAACCCGATCCACATCCTTCTCACTCGGCCCGGGTGCTTCAGCAACACGTAGTAGATGAAGACGTCGAACCTCAGGGCCCACAAAGAGGTGTCGTTAGCCTTCAACATATCTCCCTTAGGGTGAGCTTTTGCGCCGTTTCGACGTGCTCGTCCATGTGTATTGATGTTGAAAGAGGTAAGGCTCCCTTGTCAGCCTTGTTTTTGAGGAGCTTCTTGGCAACTAAGGATCACGGACAACTTCAATCAGGTGTGGCCTATGTTTTGCTTTCCACAAAACATCAAAACATGTCATTTTTCCATGTCCGACCTTCTGGTCTCAACCAGTTTGGGTCTATGTTGGTGTGGCACCCAAGGAGTTCCATGTGTCGAGTGTTTCCCGCAAACTGAAGCCAGTGGAAGCCGTCTTTTTTGCAAGGCGACCCAAGGATGCTCATGCAGATCAGGAAGCCTTGCCTGATGTTGGAGGGATACGAAAACCAACCGCTTTTGCGGAAACCAAGAGAGAACTGGTGTGAACACCCAAGTAACCCGAGGAACATTTGTTCGGACTGCCGTCTGAGTGGCATGAATGGTGTAGTGGCCCGACACGCGTGCACCATCTCAGAGTTGCAGCTGCTGCGCAATTGCTGAAGCAGGCCTGGGAGTTCTTGGAGTTCAGTTCGTGCGGGATCACCAAACAAGAATGAAGTTTCAGGGTGGAATCCCCACTTCAAGAAGAGAAACCACTTCAAGAACAACTCAGAGGAATATCGGTAAGACTTCAAGGGCTTTCCTGGCCTCCAGAAAGTGGCAAACAGCTCCCGTTCCAAGCAAAACTGGCGTGAGCTCGCTTCGAAACCTGGGATGTTGCCTACAAAAAGGCAAGTCAGGCTGCAAAGCAGTGTGAACAAGATGCAGCCAAGGCATGGCAAAATGGCAAGGAACAATCAAGGATGCGGCAATGCAACCCGAATACTCAGCCTAACGAAGCCGCGCCCGTGCTGCCTCCCTGCCCTTCCTGTCTTTTGGGCTACCTTGATACGCGTGTGTTTTGAGGGTAACCTGGTGAGGTGGCTTTTAAAGAGTCCCCACAGTTTTGGGGTGCCCAAGTTTTCAAAATATGGATGGTTTGAAGAGAAACCAACAAAAATGCACCAATCTTCGGGGTTCCGGCTATCCAGTGCCCAAAATGTAAAGGATCCATTCAAAGAAGACATCTGATTTTACTAAACCAGAAGTTCGTTTATCCTGGTTCCCATTACCCAAACAGCCAACACGTTGGATTTGAGGGAGCAAGACTGTGCGCCCCATGGGGAAACCACAATGAGTGTGCTTGAGCAGCGGTTGATTCATCCTGGCTCAAAATTAATTAGTAGCAGACCCCTGCAAAAAGCCAACTTCTTGTTCGAAGGAAACCCCAAAGGCAAACATGTCAAGAAGGTCAGTTGAGTCTCGCAATGTGACTTGGGCTCAAGAAACAAGGCCGACAAATCTCAGCCGGACCCATGCAACATGTCCTCCGTGGCTCACCTGAGTCACCATCAAAACCTGGTGTTAGAATGGCCTACCCAACACCATGTAAAGAAATAAAAGAAGGCGGCCGCAGCTATTTGTAGTTAAGATTGTCCCTTACTGTCCTTCACCTACCCGGGAAAATAGATGGCCCTGGTAGTTGATTCCAGGTAAACCAGGGCCCTCCAATTTTACACCAAGTCAACCAAAAGGGCTTTGAGCACGTGGCCCACCTTTCCCATCCCACCTTTCCTAGGTCCTCCAGTAGAGAGGTTAGACTAAGGGTACCCTTTCTTCTGTAGTCTATTTTAGTAGGGGAACCCTCCCAACCAAAAAAGAAACGGAAAAAGCTGGCACCTAGTCGGGGGACCTAATGTGGGTGGACGAAATCATGCACCACTTTGAAACCACAGCAAACCATCAAAAACATCACTTCAGGGGTTGTTTGAGGTGCGAAATGGATTTCGTCCATGGTAGTTTCCCATCTGTTACGCCGCCTCGCTTCGAGGCTTCGAGGCTTCAAGGCTTCAAGGCTTCGATTCGAGGCTTCCCCGCCTTCCAGCTTGGCGCCGGTGGCCTGCAGCACCGCCTGCGGGCAGAGGTGCAGCACCTCCCCGTAGCGCCCGTAGACCTCCAGCAGCCGCGGCGCCTGGCGGTGGCTACGGATTCGGGAGCTTACGGCCGGTTCCAAGGGGCGTCGTCTAAAGGGAAAAACACCGGGGAAGCCACGCAATCCGTATGAAGATCAAAGATTGTGTTGAACAAAAATTACTGGGATGTCCGTTGCCAAGTCAGTGCGTGGTTAGCATCGAACCAGAGTGCAAGTGGGGGCGTGCTCTTTTTGGCGTTGGTTTAACAGGAAATCAAACGACAAATCAGCGGCAGGTATTAAACTATGGACCCTCTACATTCACACTCAACTTTGACCACGCTCCGTTTTTGATGGATGGGAGGCTATTTGACAGCAGGCTTGGAGAATCATTCGAACCAGGGGGTCGAGCCCCCATCATTGCTGTGTGCTTGCACTCAACCACGTGGGCCAAGCGTGAGCCACCTTACCCATTAGGCCACCTTACTCATTAGGCCACTGGGTCAGCTGTTAGAAGGAAAAAAGAATACCCACCACTAATCAGAAACCTGACTCCACTTCAGTGGGGGCTTGATGGCGGCCAGGCCGACCATCTGAAAGATGGCCCACCCGGTTAACAACGCACACACGTGAATTTCAGCGGCAACTCCAATGCCCTGGCGACTTAGAAGTGGATCGTAACCCAGCTTACCAACCGATCAACTTGGCCGAACACAAAAGTAAGACGTGTGCAACAGTGAAACACAGCTCGTTTGGCAAAATGGCACTGGTGTTGTGCTCAAGCTGAATGCCCCCTGTCCACCAACCAATGGAAACACAATACTGGAACAAACAAACACTTGAACAACATAATTATGAGTTAACCACGGTTCAAGCAGACTATGAACAACACACATACAATTTGGCGAGCCGAAGAAAGCAACCTTTGCCAGCTGTGTACCGGGTAAGTTTGAGATGCATCAGGGATCAAATTATTCTCTCAACGTGTCCAGACCCTATTCGACACTGAGGGAATCTTCTCCCGATACTGTAGAGGCGAGCCTAGCCCAGGGGACCAATCAAAGAACACAAAACAATCAACCAGGACCAAACACCAAACCAGCAAAACCCATGTACTTCACCACACAGAAGGGAAAAACACACAAACAGCGCACTCGGGCCGTTCAGATTCTTTCGCGCAACTCGCCTCTAGCTCCTTTCTCGCGAAAGGGTCCTCATCCCTCAAGGCGTCCAGTGCTTGCTGCTTCGCCGCCACCACGAAATCTGACACGGCGCAGCCTGCGGAACTTCTTTTGCGCGCGCGCGAAAAAAAGCGGCCACAAGGTATCAGACCGTGTTGCCCACTGGCAAAAGAACACCAACTGGTTGCAAAGGTATCGGGGCTGATCTTAAAAAGGCATGCAGTCCTCGCCATACGAGGATATGATGTACTTACTTAGCCTGTCATATTCGCCTGTTGATATCAACGGAACCCAAAACAGGGGATCGCTGACAACCTCTAATACAAGCATGGTTTGTGGGCCAGAAATTTCAAGGACCTCCAACAGAAAAGATGGTCTCACAGACACCTTTCTCATTTTCCGTTGGTCCCAGTTTTCAGGACGGCGTCTAACTGTCTTTGGCTCTCACCCCATTTCGGCCATGCTCGGACATGTCCCTAGGGGACTTTGGACAAATCTTAAAAACTAGGAACAAAACGACACTCAAAAAAAGGTCAATCGCGGCAAACAAAAAGTCGTTCACGGCAGTTTCACACTAGTTTCACACTAGTTTCACACTAGTTTCATGGTGCCCGGCTTCCTGCAAGATGTCCCAGGACAACAGCAGTAAAGCGGTTCTTCTATTGTAGAAACTTAGTTTTTCTTGCAATTCGGATCATGGGACCGCAGGTCAGCGGCTGCTTTAAAGGAGGATGACTCGCCGGGGGTATGTATCACACTGCGTGAGTCTAGCCTCCACCCTCTCAACACTGACAGCCCTGGAGATGTCCTCAGAGGACCTGACTTCCATGTGGGAGGGCACCGGCAGGGTAGAAAAAAAGTGACCTTCGTGGGTAGGTTCACAAGGCCCACAGGCAACCCAGGGGCTCCCTACCCGGGCTCGTCGGGCTTTAGCTGAGGGCAACCGCCTGAATCAGAATTCACCAGACGGAAAAATGTTTTAAAGGGAACCAAATATGAAATTCACAAAGCCCCGGTGGCGATCCGATTTGCCAGGGTACTGTCCTCAACCGTTTGCTAAAAGACATGTGCACCGTCATTCTTTCAGGTTTTCCTCTCCAGCGTGCTAGGGCGGGCTTGCTTAAACTAAACTCAAAACGGTACGCCTTTTGGGGCCTTCGCACTGAAACAATACCGGAAAAGAACAGGTCCAAGCACCGTCTTTGGGGAGCTAAGTCACCGCCTTGCACGTAGCTCCTTGATCCCACCGAACCAAACCCCGCCTAAGCCTTGCTGAGCATGCTCTTGCAGGGCCTCTTGCAGCGTCCCCGCCAGGTGCGGCAGGTTGTCGTTGAACAGCACCGCCGTGCCTTTGGCTAAACTCAGCCCCGGCAACAAGAAAAACAAAGGCTGCTCCACAGTGCAGGAAAACCTACGGAAACCCTTGACCAAATATCTACCGTTGTTCCCACATGCCCGCCCGCCTGGGTTGGCCTCATGGAGCGCCCGCAAAAAATGACATCTTGCCAAGAAGCGGGAATGGTCATGTTCCAAAGAGTGAAAGGGCAAAACAAGAAACAGCCAGGATTGGGAAACTTTTGTCATGCTTTCCAAAGGCTAATTGGGCAAAGAAGCTTGGACGGGCTTGAGAGCGCTTGGAGCAGATTGTTGCAGGTAAGTCATCAGAGCCCAACTGCCCAAACGCACCTGCCCCACAGCCTACTTATTTGCACTTTTTGGCACGGGGAAAGCAACAGGACTTGAGACAAAAACCACACCAAAGCAGGGCTTTTAAACTAGAAGAACTTCCTGCTTGGCCTCATGGAAAGATTGGACAAAAGCACTCTCAAATAGAAGACCCCTCCCGATCAAAGTGAATTTGAGACACTTCCATGTTCTCTTGGGGGCACAAACGCTTCAAGCTGGGCTGAAACGACCAATTGCAAAGAGTGGCAACTCTTTGCTGGTATGGAAGAAACAAGCAGAAAAGCAACAAAGAGAAAACCAACGAAATGCAAAACCAATAGCAAACAAAGCAAAACCAACAAAGCAAACACTTCAGACAGACGAGCTCAGTCAGACAAAGACCAAGGCGCCGATACCCAAGTCCGTCGCCATGCCGCATCTTGCACCATCGCCACGCTTTTCCGAGTCGGGCGAGTAGAAATGGGGTCGCGCCAACTTGGTGAAACATGTCTAAACGCCTGTTAGTGAATTAGAAACAGTTATATAGTGAATTATCAATTTATCCACCTGATAACATTGCTATTACCATTGCTATTTATCTAAATCAAGTTTGTTGATCACCTGGTAACATTGCTTCTAAGCGCCTGTTGCTCAATCAGGCCCCTTTCTGCTCCCCCAAAGTCTGCCAACACCGGTTGAAACAGAGACACCGTGCTTTCAAACAAACCCGAAAAAAAGGTATCCTCAGCAATAATATTCCGGGGCACTGAGTCACTCAGACTTTTAAATTTGGAGGAACTCCATAAAGGGGAGAGCAGCCCCATCAAAAAAATATGCCGAGTTGCTCACAGGGGCTGTTTGCCGCGTGTGCCCTCCCTAAACTGAGTCGAAAGAATGCGGCTCATCTGCCCCCACAATTGTTGGGCAGCGGTTGCCGAGCGTTGTAAGCCAGAATGTGCCGGGATACTGGTCAAACAGCCAACTTAGCAACCATCTGGGTAAAGTTATCACGAGTCACCGAAACCAACATGGCGTTCTCAAAGAGTGCCCTATGAAAGAAGCCTTCGTCTGTGAAACAAGCTGGGCCTTGTTTTGCTCATTACCACGATAGGACGCCTGTATTCTGCGGGCAAGGGTTTCAAGCCAAGCAAATCAAGGTTCGACTTTTAGACATGTGCCCACAAGCGAAGTGTGAGGATCCCTGTTAGACACTGCCTCTCGTGAGCAAAAACCCTGGCGACCAGTGACATGCGGATCTTTGTTCAGAAAGGGTTCAAATCCTTTGCCGGGTAGACACATCTAAAAATATGGAACAGGAACTTAAAGGAACCGTCCCTTTTCGGCCTTTTTATGCCTCTCAGAACACACCAAGCCACCAAATGTTGCAAGCGAGGCCGCAGCAGCACCACTGGTTTTCTCGCTTTCGCATCGGCTCAGTGGGAGTTCCGGGGGGAGGCAGGCGGAGACTCCTGGGATCCAAGAGTCCAGGAAGGCGGACCAACCGGGGGCCAAATCCGCATGACAAACCAATCTGACTTCCACAAGTTGCTCTGCAACATGTCCTGGGGAAACGCGTAACTTGCTGTTGCTCACAAAAGCCTTGTACGACCATTTTGCTAGGCTTCAGTCTGAGTTCGGTTCTACCCTAGACTGGGGCTAATAATATCTTGAATTGATGCCATGATCCTTCTGGCAGATTTCCAGGCTGCTGGCGTTCCGGCCAAACCATGGTGTTTTGGCGAATCGCCGCTGCACTTCTTTGGACCTTGGGCTCAATTCCTTGATACCAGGTGACCATTGCGGGGCTCCTCTTCAGTTCTTTCTCGGGTGTTGCCAATCTTTGGGTCCCCATTTTGAGAACCATTCCCATTGGCCACGTGAAAGCAGACCAGGTGTTGGCAGCACGCTTGAACATTCATAATACAATACGATTAGGTATGTACACTTTAATCCAAGCATCAGGGAGGGCAATATCCCACTGCTCCGACTCCACGGATAGAAAGCTAGGCTCTGGCATTCCTTGGAAAGCAAAAGCCACAGGGCCCAGAAATGATTCCTATCCTTGCGGTCCGGTCATTAACTCTACTCAGCTTGGCCATCGGAACAATCAAACCCTTCCCAAGAACAAACATCGAAGAAAGGGTGCCAAAGTGAATCAAGCAACTGTCCCAGTTCCAGGATCCAGGTCCAGGTCGCTCAGTGAAAACCAAAAAAAAAAAGGAGCCACCACACAGCCCAGCAAAGAAGCAACCCTGGGAGACGTCCATGCGAGCGGCAAAACCTAAGACTATGGGCGAATTCGAGCGGGAAGTTCTCGTTTTTGGGGTTTCACTATATCGTTCTACAAGGTTTCAGACATGGCCATGCAAGGTTACACAATTTTGGGTTTCGGTATATCGTTCTTGAGAAAGAAACAAAGCAAAACACGCAACGCAAAATCACCGAAGACATAGCTGTGGATGAGAGAGATTAGCCTTTCTCTCACGTTGGAAAGCCACAGTTGGGGACTGGTTGAATGGGTTCGAACAAATGAGCTATCCTCGAACAAGAGGTTTAAACACATCCTCGACTATCTGGCTTCCGTATGGCTCCATTTTGCGTGGAGGCAACGAGTCAAACCTTGAATTTCCCACAAAAAGACAGATCCAATGGGTCTACCAAGCCAACACGAACCCAACTCCTCCATGACCTCGATTCCCAATTTCTGCTCCACCCGGCGGATGGTGTGGCGCAACCTGCGCAATGGGTTGCTCGTCGACCGAATCCATTGGCACAAGTTGGTAGACGTTTTCGGCTTGGCTTCGATTGATTAGATGACCCAAAAAGATGAATCAAACAAGATGTCGGGCCCGTTTGCAAGGTCTCACTTCCTGACTGGATTGGCCCCAAACTGAACTTGTTACCACTGACAAGGTTCCAAAAAAACAAGAGTGAGCGGAAGAACAACACTTCACTGTTGCCACTAGGCCTTCCTCCCGATCCAAAATGAGTCTTGTGTGTTTCTCAAATCTGGGAGCCCAACTGGCTTGGTCTTTGACCTCCAAAAGTTATACTTGTTGCCGGTGGATTGCGCTGTTACACCTCCGGGGACATGACCTGTCTAAGGAATGTAACCGCTGGAAAGCGAGAGGACAAGGTAAGAAGAGAAGCATGAAGAGATAAGGAAGAGAAGATATAGACTGATAACACTGATAATGATGGATTCTCTGTCAGTCGCTCCTTCCCCAATTCTCACCTGTCAATGGTGATTAAATTTGGGAACGCCATGAAGCAAACATAATCTTCGTTACAGCGCTGTGTCCCAGAGACAGTCAACAGTCAGGAAAGGACAAGATGGAAATGCTTCCTCTCGCATCCGCTCATCCCCAAGAATCTAGTCCTTTCTATAAAAGCCTTTGTCCATTTCTATATCTCATATTTCTATTCCTAATTCTGGATGAGATTGAAGATAGAAGAAGAAGTAGACCTTAAGGTAATGACTTCCCGATGTTGAGAGGTGAGTCACAGAGAAGAAATAGACCAGAAAGAGAGCTAACTTCCAAGGACGACTTCTTCTTTGTCAAGGCTTTTACAGATCATAGATTTGGAATGTGATTGAGGTTGGAGATGGAAAGAACTAGATAAGGAAACGGTGAGGAAGAGGTGGGTCGCTTTTCCCCTTTGAGCGCATCAACCCGACGGAAACATTCCAAAATGGCAACCAGGTGATGTCTCCATCAGCGGAAAAAAAGGAAGCACTCAGTCGGACCCCTTCTTCAGGAGCAAACCATGTTTGCTAATTCTTCCATGGGGAAATCGCTCAAACCACTAAACGGGATCGTCCATCCGGCAAAACCAAAAGGTCGCGAAAGGACGACAAAGGCACACCACAGAATGCACAATTAGGCAGAACGAAACCACAGCACAAGGGATTCCCTGCGAAGGATCCCCGGGTGAACAGGGCCCAAAATCCGCCTGTGGACAGGCTCCAGCAGAAAGCTCATCTGATGGTAGGCCTGCGGGAGGAGCTTGGGTCATGCTGCAAGGACATTGGGTGACCCCCGTCTCGTCCTCCCCAAACGAACTGTTGGCTAGCAGCACTGTGGGTGGCCCGAAATAAGCTCTAACAAGTGGGTTTTGAGATGCTACATACATGATTGTCCCTTGCTGCAAGTGCTGCTGAAAGAGAAACCAAACTCAAATCCACAAGGGCAAAGGGGTAGAAAGCTTGGTTTAAGTCTGGCAACGCCTATGGAGATTGAGTTTCCAACGCACCAAAACACCAAACGGATGGTTTCCAGTGGTTTCCCTGTTCAATCAACCCAAAAAAAGGTACGATCAAAAAGGCACGTCCATAGCGCAGCTCTATCTAGAATCCAAATCAAACCAAAAGAAGTCTGGCCAACTCAGCGGAATTTCCGATCCTTCGCCCTCTTGCCAGTCAGGTTGGGCCTGCCCGGACTTACGGCGCCCTAATCCTGATGAGGCCCCATAAATCCCCCTAACCATCTGGTTTCCCACGAGAAAGCAGTTTTGTCTAAAAAATGAGGTCGTCAAGAACATGCGGTTGCCTTCTTCACCAAATCCGAGATGATGAGCGTCAGGATCGTGCCCACAACTACCAGCAAATAGATGTAGGCGGCTATGTAGTGCATCACCTGAGACATGGTGACTATTTGAGTCACAATCAAAACCAAACATACGACTAGGACTACCCGAACACATGTCCCTTACAAATGTTCCCTTACACGGAATTCGATTGCAGCTCATGTGTGCTCTTAGCTGTGGAGTTTGCTCCCTAACCCACATGTCCTGTCGTGTCGGTAATTTGGCGCACGCACCCTATGTAACCATATTGGGAGGTGACTTGACCGTTTCTGGCTCCCAAGTTCCGAATGAGTGCATTTGCTTCGCTTTCAAAGGGACCGAATCGGTTTTCTTGGGCCCAAACAAAAATCAAAGTTGCGGTCAAGCAGCAAGTTTGGAAAAACCAGCAGGGCTGCCAAAAAACTCTCATATCTCACATGCCTGATAGATCTCCCGAGGATGATCTTCTAGCTTCCCAGATGTAAAAATGAACCTCCAATATGGTTGGTTTCCCTTCAGCTTTCCTACACAACCCCAAAAGGGTACCCAAACAAGATGGACATACCCTTTTTGATCTCAAAACACAAAATACAGCTGTGAAATACTAGAGCTCCGGGACCACCCTTCCCTTGTTTCGGCGATACTGTGTGGGGTTTGCAACCCTGGGACATGGGCTTGCTCTCTCCCGAAATGAAGACAGCCACTGGCACCATTTCAGGAGTCTCCTTGCGGGAACTCCGATGTTGAGTGAAAAGCGTCAGCCAAAACCCGCAGGTCCAAGGGCCAGGCTGGCTGAATGAGTCCCATCTTCCACATCACCCAAAACGTGATCGCGAAGATCACCATGAAGCCCTCTCTTCAGCGAACGGAAGTCCCACGTCCGCTCTGGGGGTGACCTTTTCCTCTTCTACCCTCTGTTTCTTTTTAGAAA